TATTTCGGATAAACCCACGGGCTGACATCTAGATCAAATGATAAGATCACACAAAAATCCCGTTAAATCGTAGCTGCGTGAATGGCTCAGCCATTAAAATAACGTAGCCTAATTCTAATCTTAATCTTCAAAGAAGTTCAGGATCGCGCGGATACCCTTAGAGCCCAGGCCGTGGGTCGGGTAGGAGATATATAGCGGGTCCTCAGTGGCACCGAGCTTAGCACGGAATTCACTCTTGCGCACAAGATGGAACTGCTTAGCAAGGGTTTCGTAGGTGTGCTCCAGCATCTTGACCTTGGTTCCACGCATGTTGTGGCCAGCGGTGAGCTGGGAAGTGGCGCCAGCGCCAAATGTGAGGCCCTTGACGCCGCCCTTGGCGGCGGTCTGGATTGCATGCGTAACAATGTACTCAATAACACCGTTGGGTGCGCCGGGGAAATCAAGACTGTACTTGACTTGCATACCGTGGGCAGGAGATAGCATAGCCAAAGCGACAAAGGCACAGACGAGGCCGTTCTTGTCTAGAGCGTAGAAGTACCAACGGTGCTCGGAGTCACACCATGGGCGGATCTGGGACAGGTGCACTTGCGTGCCCTTGCGGTTGGACAGCCACTCGCCGACACGCTCGTCAATCTTCTTGCGGATATCGTCTGGTACCATCTCACCTTGGTTCATGGAGACCAGCTTAATGCCCTCGGTTTCGGCACGACGCAGCTTACGTGCAATCTCCCCGTCAGAAGCGGCCTGGTTGCGCGATGGATCAACGCGCTCTTCGGCGATACAGGACAAACTGCGCCAGCCTAGTCTCTCGCCAAGGATAGTCTCAACCTCAGGAGAGCAGAGGATCCACACGGGCTTGAACTTGGTCTCGCGGCGTAGCCATTGCAAGAATTGTGTAATTGTGCGTGAGTACTGCTTGGGATCGCAGGCCGGGTTACCAGGAATGATTGCGTAGTTGCTGGAGCTAGGCACATAGGCGACGGCTGCACCAGTGGCCATGTCACGCCAGATCTTGAAGCGGTCATCAAACCAGGAGGTCGATGTGGCATCGCCGTAATTAGCGATCAGATGTTCCAAAGGCTGCAGCTCACTGGGGTCCGAAGCCACCCGACCCTTGTGCTCACGTTGCCACGGCGGTTCAATGGTCGATGACTCTGGGTGTCGGAGCTGTTCAGAGACAGGCTTGGCTGGCAAACTCTTGGGGTCGCGAGGGAATAGTGATGTGAGTCGGATGTTGCCCAGCTTGAGGATAAGCATCACGATACGTTCTAGGCCAACCCCGGCGCCAGCATGGGGCGGGGCACCCCAGCGGAAGCCTTCGAGATACTCCTCCATATCATCCGGGTTGATGCCCACACGACGCATGTTTTCTTCGAGCATGTGGGAATCGTGGATACGTTGACCACCCGAGACAATCTCTTGTCCACGAATGAACATGTCAAATGAGTTGGTGTACTTGTCGTCTTCGGCGTCGGGCATCGTATAGAAGGGACGTGCACCGCGAGGGAATTTGTCAAGGACGTAGTAATCTGTACCGTATTGCTCCTTGACAAGCTCACCCAGACGAATTTCATCACGGGTACCCAGGTCCTCGTCTAGAGGCAGCTGCTCGCCCTCTTCATTCAACCAACCCGAGTCGTTCAGCATCTTGATACCATCAGTGAAACGAATGATCGGCGTCTTTTCCAGCCATACGACATCTTCGGAGGGAAACTGGTACTTGACGAGGTCAACCTCGCGGCGGCGTTTGGTGTAAATACCGTTGAGGATATTCTTAATCACAGCATCGAGGGTGTCCAGCATCTCGTGGTAGTGCTCGTCAATAGCCATCTCAAGATCCAATCCAGTATATTCCGTAAGATGACGGTGGGTATTGGAGTTTTCGGCACGGAAAACAGCACCAATCTCGTAGACGCGGCCGAAGTCAGCAGCAATCGCCATCTGCTTCGCCAATTGAGGGGACTGGGCAAGGAATGCAGGCCGGCCGAAATAGTTGACCTGGAAGACACTCGATCCAGACTCCGTAGCGGCGCCTTGCAACTTCGGGGTGTGGATTTCGACGAATTCGCGGTCATCAAGGGCGGAACGGAAAAGATTACATGTTACGGCCTGAAGACGGAAGATAGATTGCGAGGTTGCGGTGCGAAGGTCAAGGATTCGGTTGGCCAAACGTGTCCGGTCCGGGATATGGTTGCGGCGGCCCTCGGCCTTCTCTTCTTCGTTAGTCCGAATCTCCGCCTCATAGACGCTAAAGGGGACAGGTTCCTCGCGGCGAACTTGGAGGTGAATTGAGTTAATGACCAGTTCGACATCATGAATTGAGCAGCCCAAAACTGGAACTTCGGGTTTCTGGACAGTGCCACGGACAGTGACAAAAGACCCCACTCGGAGGTGCTCCACCCATTGGATCATGGCGAGAGACGAGATCCCCTCCCGCTCATGCAAAACACCCTGGAAGGTACCTAGCTGCTGGCGGAATACCAGGAACACTAGCTTGGCACTCATTCGACGAATGACGTGCAATCGTGCGCTGAAGAACACTTCCTGTCCATCCATGGCAAGGTTTATGTCATCGATCCGAGTCCGCGATTCTCGTGTTCGAGTGGAAGACTGCATTAGGGGAAGTTCGCCATATCGAGCTTTCATGTCAGGCGTTTCCTCCGCCGCAGCTTTGGCAATCTCCTCTTCCTTATGGCGGCGGTCGGTCTCGGAGAACATCTCCTCGCTAAGACGACTGCGCTCGCTTCGACGGTGCTGACGCACCAACCGTTTTTGTTGATTTTTGCTCAAGGTACCGGAAGAAGAGTCATCGGAGACATCTTCAGATGAAGAAACATAATCATTCCTATCACGTAGGAAGTTGCTGAGAATGCTGCGACGAGGGGATGCGGTGGGGGAACCAGACCGAGATTGGTTGGTACGAACTTTGGGGGGTAGGGCAGAGCGAATGTTAGAACCGGAGGTGTCATCCTCACCACCCAGGTGTCCTCTGATTGCCTTTGAGAGGGCACGTTTAATCGACATTGTTTTTGAAGTCTTATGATAGAGAGAAGAAAAGAAAGAAGAGGGAGAATTGTATATATATATAAGAGACCTGGAAGAAGTGGGGGGTGGGCCGGAACGGGCGATTTCCAATCTGGTTGAACCCTGGAAGGTTGGGCCTATGTAAAAGGATAATCCCGAGTCCCGAGGTCGAGGAATTGTGTGGGATAATTAGATGGAATTGAAGATGATTGAATAGTTGAATAGTAGAATTAGAAGTTAATAGAAGAATCAAACTATTTATTTCCCTAAAAAACTTCCAAAAGTCCAAAAGTGCAAAACATAGACCTGGCCCTGGAATGATGACATCATCCGATATCCAAGCCCAAGCCTGATTTTCTTGGTATCAAGAGGTCCTGCAGCCTTAACATGTACGTTGTACACACTCTATTTCAATATTACTCCGATACTTAAGTCTCTCACTGTGCTTATTTTCTATTTCCCCTCATTAACATCCTCCCGAGGTCGATTCTTGGTTCTTGGTTCTGCCTACAATCTCAAAATATCTCACCTCGTCTTACGGTATTAACCCCCCCCGTCTTATCCCCTTCCGACTCCCTCCGATGCACATACCAAATCGATAGGACGAACATCACTTGCCCACTGCAGCATCATGGCCTCATCTCGTTGGTGGCTATATGTGCAGGCCATATTTTGGCGGTTCCTCATGCGGATCGGCATGTTTCTGCACGAGATCGCCCCCCGACCACCGCGACCGTTATTTACCCGTATCGTCATATCCGACTCCTGCCACCCCGTCGTCCTCCACTTCTACTGTCCACCAAATTATCATGAGCAGCGAAGGCTAGGCCATCGATTTCCCGTTGCCGTCAACTTCCACGGTGGTGGTTTCACAATTGGTGCTGCCACGGATGATTCTCGCTGGGCGAAAACAGTACTGGACAATGTCGGGGCCGTAATGGTGAGTGTCGCCTACCGACGAGCACCCGAACACCCATTTCCCGCGGCAGTAGACGATGGAGTCGAGGCATTACTATATCTGGCGACACATGCTGGCGAACTGGGTTTAGACGTGAGCCGTGTGGCGCTGAGCGGGTTCTCGGCGGGCGGCAACCTGGCTGTCACAGTGCCCCTGCGACTGCACAGCAGAATGTCCACGGAGGCGAAGGACCAACTGGGTCGAGCGGAATCCACACAAAATTTGCTCAATCAGGTCAGCGATCTCAACATCGTTGCTTTGTTCTCTTGGTACCCGATTCTAGACTTTGAAGAATCTCGCGATCACCGTCGTGCGATGAGTCTAATGCCGGACAAGGCTCTCCCGGCATTTTTCACCACCCTCTTTGATGAGGCCTATATCCCTGATTTGGACGAACGTGTTTCCCCCTATGCTTCTCCCATCCACGCATCTGACCGTATGCTGTCTGAGGCTCTTCCCCGCGACGTGTTTCTCTTTATCTGCGAGTGGGATATGTTGATGAAGGAGGGTCAATCTTTCGTTCGCCGCTTAGAGAGTCTCGGTAAACGGCCCCGTGCCATGCTCATCGAGAAAGCTCGGCATGCGTGGGATAAATCACCCAATCCGTGGCGGGACCAAAGCAGCGTGGACATTTTATACCGCGATGCCTGTGCGGATATGAAGGCTATCTTCGACCGGTGATCGATTTCTTAACTTTTCATGTTTTATTCTTAGGGTTTATCTCAGCACTGCGGGACTTGACTTTGGCGTTTGAACTGGCATCCACGGCGTCAACTACACATAGCGTTGTTTGATATGCTTATCCTACTATCAGTTTATCAGCCTGTTCCATATATACATATCTACCTATAACATAGATACAGTGTAGCTGTAACTGTAACTGTCTTATCAGATTGTATTGGTTGGGATCGTATATATATAATACCCACCTCGGCTGCGGCACTGAAAACCAAGCGGAAACTCAGGCTGGAAAGCCGGGGATTTCCTCGCAGGGTTTGTGGTTGGAACTTTCACTGCACTAGCTCCAGCGATAATAGCAGTCGCATTTTGTTTTCTCATGCACGCCAGCACATCCCCTGACGACACATAGCCCAACTAGCATCGCTGTGAGCCAAAAGGTCCAGCGCCAGTCACGGTCCACGACTATTGCCTCGCCTGCGATAGGGCCAACCTTACTAGCAACTACGCCCATGATGCCATATACTACGAACAGGATACCCCCCGATTTGTCCTCGGGCATCTTCTATAGATCATTCAATAGGCCCGAGAAAATGGTCACGCAGGGAGACCCAACTATCCCACAGATGCCACGGGCGACTGCTAATGTCCGAAAGTTCTGGGCTGATCCACCGATGATGGTGAAGACTAGATGCAGAAACAAAGAGAACTTGTAGATATATTGTCTGCCAAACTCCTTTGGGAGCGCAGACGTGCAAATGGGTCCAATGACTGACAAATCCCATTGCATAGAACGTTATAGGGGAAATGGCCAATATCGATCCAATTTGGAACTCTTGCATGATTCCTGCAATACTCGCGATGTATACCGACGTTGCCAATGTACTAATGCATCACGACAGTTCAGGTCAGGTTTATTCGATATTGGACGGCGAGATTGAATACATTGACCCACATAACAAAATAAGAAGAAATGGCACTAAACGAAACAAATAGTTTGTATTTTGAGTTCCAATGGCGAGCGTTAGGCACTCGGAGATTCTGGTCATTGAAACAAGCTTCATTGCCGTTGGAGACTTCTTTTGCATTATTGTCTTCGGCGTCGTAAGCGGTGTCCGCCGTGACAGTAGACGCGCCATTTTCAACACCACGCACTGAACTTCCCAACGTTGACTGACAGACGGCAGGCGTCTGATGCCCTTGCTCAAGGTTTGTCATAGTAGGTGAGGATTTGGTCTTCATATACCTTGGAGAGTTTCCCTGTGGTATGTGTTAGTATTGACGTTGCCAAGCCACACCGGGTTTGAAAAGCTTCAATGGGGGCTGACCAGACAGACGCACTGAGCAATGATATTGGAATTTTTGAGGACATAACTTAACACACAAGTAGTTTACTTTAAGTTCACACGGGCGCCACCAAAGAACAACCCTGGCATACCAACCTACCTAATAGATCATTGGCAATCGCAAACGTAACATCCACATCCGGTTAGTTTCACACCTTTTCAGCAGCGAATAATATACCTAGGTACCTACCTAGGCACCTAGGTAGGTATGCAAATTGCAGCGTCATTCCAAGGTTGATATACACTTTAAACCTTAGAAATTTAGACCAATCATGTACACCACACTGACCCGCTTTCGATCTAAATTTGCCCCACATGAGACGGGAATGCCAGATCCGGATCGACTCTTCCATACTCTTTAGTACCTAGGTATTTTTAAGACGTAGCAACAGCCATCTACATCATTGGACCATTAACAACACATTGTTCGCCATTAGTTCAACCCATTGACCTCGACATTGCGTATGAATGGCGGTCGTTGATCGCCTCCGTCGAAAAAGGAAATGTTGGGAGTATCTATTAAGCGGATTGACGGGCATTGTAGGGGGATCAAGGGATGGTTCATAAGCGGGATAAATACAATTTCACATGCACTCCCTAGCTACTCGGTTACTATCTACGAGCGTACAACCATGGAAGCGTAGGTCCGTATGAATGATATGATAATATGGAAGGAAGATGGATGTGATACGCCACATAAAATATAACGCAAAATGGAAGGCGGCACACTGAAAAGAAAGGGAACAGCACATGGATTGTTGCTCGAAGATATAGTGACCGAGTTTATACGAAACTAGTAGAAGGTCAATAGGCTTAAATTTAGTTGTATAGCGAAGGTAGCATAAGATCACTTTGCTATACCCGCAGCAGAGCGGTAGATGGAGCCTAACTGGACTACCGATATGTGTATTATGAGCTTCCCCATCTGATGGATTCAGGACTACTTATCGGCTAGTGATGGGAGATAGAAATTGCAATATTCCTTTGGAAATCGGGGCGGAGTACTCAGGGTCGGCTTACCCATATGCGGGACGAGATATGGTGTAGATTGCTGCTCTGGAGGGCCCACAAATTTCCCGTGGTTCCAGGGGAAATGAGGTGAAGGCCATAAACAAGCCACCGTGAGATTGTTCTAGCGCTAGAAGAATCTCGGCAACTGAGCATTTATGGGAAATTTGCGGTCTACTGAAACTGGAATTACACTGGGGCTGTTCCATTGGTCGCCCAGTAAGGAATGATCGCCCAGTAAAGAATGATCGCCCAGTAATGAATGTACCATGTACCTCGCAAAGTGATCTCCGGTTGTCGAATGGGGCCCAAGTTAGATTCGTGCAGTTACCTACAAGCCTGTGTTAATGAGACCATGCGACTCGTCCCAGAAGTCCCAAATATATCACCTCGCTGTGTGCAAACCGGTGGCATCACAGTAGGCGGTGAATATATCCCCGAACGGACAGTCATCGGAGCCTCAATATACACCCTTATGCGTAACGGGGATTATTTCCAGAAGCCCGACGACTATTGGCCAGAACGATGGTTCGTTAACCCTGAAGCTGGGATTGATTCAGAGGCTCTTGCGCGAGCGCAGAAGGTAGTCTGTCCATTTGGTGTGGGACCAAGGTCTTGCGTTGGGTGGAAATTGGCTTGGTTGAAACTGAATGTGATGCTCGCAAGGACGCTTTTCATATATGATATTTGGCTGCCACCGGAGGCAGATTGCTGTGAGATGGGGACTACAGGGGAGATATGTGATTACAGCATAAAGGGGTGGGCGATTGCCTTTGGTGAAGGACTATGATTGCTTGAATTTCAGAACATCAGTGTCTTACAGTATGGATGTATGGATGGATGAAGGATTTCGTTCACCTTGACAGAGTGCAGCACTTCCTACAGACGAACTTGAATTTCCTTTCAGTGATCTGGCATGTCGAGATTCGTCGAGCGCCAGAAGAAATTTTATATTAGGTTGCTCAATGGGACGCCTTTGCATTTGCACAAGTACATAGGAAAACCTAAAAAGGGTAAAACCTATATCAAGGCAGCTAAACATAATTATACATTAGGATAATAAGCAATCAATCTCGACATAAGTCCCACCGGATCTAACGAATTAGTAAGGCCAAGTAACTTGAAATGAATTGTATATTAAGAGCAGCAATTGCTAAATCGTTAGCATGTAATTGAGTAGCTGTACTGACAAGGATACATACTAGCCTTTCGTGGGTTGGTCTAAAGACCGAGCTAGTTTGCTCCTGTCAGCTCTGTTCGCTTTCTTTAGTATGCCAAATTATTACTCACAAGATCAGTAAGGGCTTTAAACTATTCCTGCTGTTAGTTCTTTATCTGAATAATCGCCTTGTACGGCTTAGGGCTCTCACTCACTTCACCACTAATATCGAGATTGCCAGTAGGACCAGAAAGGCCGATGTCGCCCGTGATCGGAGTTCCCAATAGTCCACCCTCCTCGCTTTGCGGTACTGGGGCTGCCATGGCCATGCCGAACAAAAATGTACTGATAAGGAGAAGAGGCTGCATGGTGAATCGAATGCTAGATCTGCCTGTTGGAATTTGAATGGTGGCTTGTAAATGACGGCGGATAACGGTATGCGTTGACCTAAAGTTCTGCACATCGGGTCATTAAATATTTCCCATGGAAGGGCACCATAAGGTAGTATTTCATCTGAGTAATTTAATTGCAACAGATCCCCTACACCAATGGATCCATGATGGCTGCGTTCAATGCTAAAATACGTGGAATACAAGGGCCTTCGCGGATCATTTCCAGATCCGCTGTTGGGTCACTATGAACAGTGAAAAGTTTATATCGCCAGTGAAAGAATAGTATCTTCCCCTTGCATCGAAGGAGCTTCCCTCCGACGATGCTTGTGCCTCAGCGATTAGATGTTGTTTCAGCTCCTCCACGTCGTCAAAATGTCAACAGAGTTTTGAGAATCCATGATGTACGCGTCATTGCTGCTTTCGCTCTTGTTGCTACTGTCTTTGCCAGCCCCGCCAATTACGGCAATGGCGACCTTCTGTTTCTGGGCAATGCTGCCACGAGTGGTCCAGTCTCGGTATTGTAGAAGCAGTTTATTGGCGAGTGATAATTTTCAATGGGTTGGATCAGAAATTGTGCTCGAGTGCCATTTATAGCTGACAAGTCATGCCGAGGCTGCTATCATTTCCACCAATGCTTCCTCGCCTAGGAACGACCGCACTTTCGAAAAGCCAGTGAACAGTTAGCTCAACTGTTGATGCTCGATCTCGTCGGCTGCTCACCCCGAACTACTCACCGATATACGAAAAGGGGCGAAAAGGGGAAGAGAGTGAATGTTGGAATATCGTTACTTTCCCACCCATTACGCTTACTTATTGGGTAGTACAATAACCATGAGCAGGCACATATAGTTTGCTATTGTATATACGATATGACTTGTTCCTTTCATTCAGCCTAGGAACACTTCTTATTTAGCATCGTCTCGACGCACTACATGATCTATGTTCCCCATTCCTAGCACATATATATATATATAACACATATTGTGCTTTATTGCCAGACACGTGCATATATTTAGTTCTACCTCGCCTGCGAGTTTTCCGGACATGACTCATGAATATTTCCCGTACTCGTTAGGTAATGTGCTTCGGAATGACGCTTCCATATTGATATTGGGTTTAGAAGCAAATCAATGCTATTTAGGGTTATACCATACGAGCACTTTATACATGCAACGTTTCTAGCTTTGGTCTATTGCCCCAGACCTCAAATGGATCAACATCAGTCCTATATATCTAGTCTCCGACGTCACACTAGTGTGTAGTTACATTTTATGGAGTGGAGGTTTGCCGAACTGTCAATCTCTGATAGTCAGGCGTGGTAGGTGGTCGGCCCGACCGGATCTGCATTGAAACTGATATTGTTCGGTTGATATATGTCTTCAGTTGGAATCCATTGACTGGGCTTAGGGATATGTCAATTGAAACAGCTGGTGTTGTCTAAAGCATTTAATTTATGTCGACGATCTGGCTCAAGGAGACATGGAGACTCATGCACAGAGGCGCTGATCTTCGTGTGCGTTCCAACTCAGAAGCGGGGGAAACAATGCTTCGCAAAGAGATCCGATAAGTCTTCGGGTATAATGAGAGCTGAAAAAATAGGGCTGAGAAGAGAGCCTGACATCTGGACTCCTACGGCCTGGTAAACCCTATAACCCTATTGGGAGGGGGTTGATGCCTGAATACCTGAATTGGTACCGCTTTCTACACCGCCCCAATACAGTGTACTGTAAATTGTTAATACATCAACCTGCCTAGACGAAGCTTTTGGACTGCATACAAATTCAGGTATCTCCATATTGTCTGGCGGTTGCAAGCTTCATTTTTTGGACTTGCAGACGCCCGCAGAATCAGGGTATTTAGATTACTAAGGCACATGTGTAATACCTAAGTAGTAATTTAGGTATTTTAACTTTTCTGCTGTTCTAAATTAAGGCAATCAGGCATAAACGCACGCCCAAAAGGGGTTTGAAACCAGGCCCCTGTACGTCTTCGTACTACGGCCTTGAGAATTAGTTCATTGTAGTCGTAACTCCAAGCGCTATCGTCTGATACCTATTATATAGGTACTAACTTGGTGAGAAAGTTGGGTATTGCCTGATATTGTTCTTGACGAACAAAACTACAACAAGCAGGTATCGTCTTTGACTCTTTCCCGAAGTGGAAATGATCTAACTACCCCTCTCTCTTGGATTGCCTGTTGTACGCGCCTGGCCCCCAAACTCATCCCCGTTGCTTATCCACTAGGATGCCATTATTGGTGTAACACTTAGCTCAAAAGATGCTGCATGATTATAGCGGCCCCTACGATGTCGATCCCTATTTGACGGGGTCTTCGTGCAACTCTAGCTTTGATGTTTTCTTCTCCCATTGCGATAATGGGACTGTAGAATACTCCTCATCCAGCTGCTTCAATATTCCTTCATCTCGCGATGGTCCCCCGTTCCCTTCTCCACCTCTCCATATTTGCGTCCCTGGTCGCAGCAGCCAAGCAGTGCTATTTTCCTAGCGGGGATGTTGCCCTCGACGACGTCCCCTGTTTTTCAGGTGACGCAGACTCACCATGCTGCTCCAAAGATTCGATTTGTCTCAGCAATGGGGTTTGTTATGGGCTCTCACAACCATATGCGCTGAGTCGAGGCAGCTGCACCAATAAAAACTGGCCAGACGGCGGATGCGACGATAAGTGTTCTGAAGGTAAGCCGATCTCATAAATTTCGAGGCCCTGCTTCAAAAGCTAACACTTTTTCTGATTACAGCAACCGATATGCGCAATAAAGGGTGTGCGCTGCCGTTGCATCACATTATGGACAAGAAGTCTTACTATTGCGCCAACTCTGTTGTAGTCAATTCGTCAGGCGACCTCGCTTGTTACGCTGGCTCCCCCTTCACAATTAATTCCGGGGAGTTGATTTCGGGTAAGGCTGCGCTCGCCAATTACACTTCTGGTGATACTAGCTCAAACACCACGGCGGATTCGAGCACAACTGCATGTCCCACAACACCGAACGAGGATAAGGGGGCAATGGTAATAGGGAAGGGGGAAATAACAATGCTGTCGCGATCGGGGCTGGGGTGGGAATACCTCTAGGAGTCCTGCTTCTCACTGCGCTCGGTTGGGCATTATTCGAACGGAGAAAACGACTCTCTGTTCAGGCTTCGGTGGCGGGACTCCAATCCCAGGCTGCTGCGACAACGGCATACTTGGATAGACCGGGACAGAAACCGGCTTATTCTCCTCCTACTGAGCTCTCTGCCTACAACCCGCCCCAAGAGTTGGAGACTACCTTACGTTGACGGCGGGGTGTGGTTATCATGGTTTCTTCGACTTGGCGCTAGAAGGATGGGTAGTTGAGAGGGGATTTATATGCTTGGGTGATAGGCTGGCTCTCACCAGGTTTAATGCTGTAGTTTCCCAATGGGAGCTTCACGGACAAAAGAAAAGGCGGGTTGGGTATTTGGCAGTCTTCAGGCAAGGTCTAGTTCTGATCAACACGGGTGTATGTGCCCGCAACGTCTGTTTTATATATGCGGAATAGCATCCACAATTATATGTCTACATCAAGTGGGATCCAAGTACGGGGATTTCCAAGGTTCAGGATGAACGGTGACGAAAGAGTGGAGCTACACATCACACTCTTTTCTGGGTCTGAAATCAAGCTTCTTTCTAACTTGGCAGATCAAAGCTTTAAAAATGATTAGAACGTCGTATGTAAAATTATCCTAAACTTTTCCTTACTGTGTTAGTCCTGCACAAATTTGTTTATTCTTTCTCATTTTTGTGGTGATGGGATCCTCACGGGAACCTGACTGGGATGCCGGTGTCAAAGGTATGAGAAAGGCTTGAATAAATCACTGCGAAACAGGAATAACGCTAATACACCGATAGATGCCATGGAAGCCCCCGAATGCGAGCAACCAGAAGGCACCGAAGAAGAAGGGAGCAAGAATGATGGCATGGGCCAATACCCATCATTTAGTTTAGCGGGCTCTGGCGCGCAGAATCCGAACAACAACCGTGGTTACACAGATGAAGAGTACGAGAAGTACAATTCTCAGGCCGACAAAGGAGATGAGGGTCCAACCTGGAGTCTGGCTCAGCCACTCCCTCATATTGTTCGGCCTGGAATGCGTCACGGCGCCTTACCAGAGGATCGAAAAGAGGATAAAGGCGACATGACAGAGAGCGACGAGGATCCAATTCAGACAGACGAAGGTCGGAAACAGCAGTCGGAAAAGCGAGCGAAGAAGGTCACTGATCCCCGGGAAGACGGCTTTTTCAACACTTGGTCGAAAATTCGTCACTATCTTCGCGAGCCGATGGCCGAATGGCTCGGAGTAAGCTCTTGATATCGCCCAAAAGTTCAAATGATTTGCTAATAAATATGATGTTTGCCAGACAACTATGGCAATGACAATTGGTCTTTGCGCTACTTTATCCAACTTCACTTCCTCTGGACAGGCCGGATCATACCCTTCTCAAAGTGCCGCCTGGGGATTTGGGTTCATGACCGCTATCTATACTACTGGAGGTATGTCTGGTGGCCATTTAAACCCAGCCATATCAATCTCGCTATCTGTATTTCGCGGGTTTCCCGCGCGTCGATGCGTGATATACATTGCTGCGCAACTCCTCGGTGCTATCACGGCAGGGGGTATATCGTACGCGGTATACCACGACGCCATTGTCGAAGTCGCCACGTTAGCCAAAGTGCCTCAGAATGCAAGCGTCGCCGCCCAGGCTCTTATCACCTTACCGAAACCATTTGTGCATCCTGCGACTGCATTCTTCACCGAGTTTTTGGGCAGCGCAATCTTAGTTGGTTCTATTCTCGCTCTGGGAGATGATACAAATGCACCCCCAGGAGCGGGAATGCAGGCATTTATTATTGGGATTCTCATTACCATTGTGGTCCTTGCACTTGGATATAATACCGGAGGGTATGTGTTTTCATTGCTAATTCCCAACGCCCCCCCCAGGTTTAAAACTAATTATTGGTCTCTTTGTAGTTGTTTCAACTGCGCTCGAGACTTCGGCCCGAGAATTGTTGCTGTCATGGCTGGATGGGGTGGGCATCTCTTCCGAGAATACCATGCATGGTGGATTTGGGGTCCATGGGTCGCAGACATCACTGGTGCTTTGTTTGGTGCCTTGATCTATGACATGGCTATCTTTACTGGTGGTGAGAGTCCAGTCAACTATCCTCCCCGGAGGCGAAAGCGCGCATACCGTGTCAGGGCTTTGAATCTTCGGAAGAAACTTCGGATTGGGAAAAGAAAGCTTCCGGATCTCGAGCATTCTATTGCAGATACCGAGCACTAAACTACATTGTTGTATGTATATAGGTACTTTCCATTGATGGATAATTACCTCTTTTTATACATATGTACTCCGTAGTTGTGGATTTTAAGTAAAATTACTGAGCCTACGGATCTTTGGTTGTTTCATGTATGTATCGTACTAAGTATGTATCCACACTACTCACAACACACTAAAAGAGCTAGTGAAGATTCGAGTCGAAGCTAGCAAAGGCTTCACAAAGGTATACACTTGATCATGAAGATTCCTCCTTTTTAAGTGATTGGATTCTGAGATGTGGGAACGATCTCGGGAGTCGACGGATGCCGAAACTATGATCCAAGGCCAACTTGGTTTTTATATAGAAAGTTATCATAAGTGTGATAGTTAGGTATTGGCCAATTGAAAGCAATGACTTAGAAACAAGGCCGAGAATTAATAGAGAAGAGTGGTAAGTTTTAGAACTCAGACACCTCCACTACTCAACCTCCAAACAACTAGTTAACTAGTCGGAAATAAGAGAATAAGAGAATGGATATTTAGCTATAGGTGGAGATTAATCTGCCAAGCTTAGCCAATAGAAGCAAACTAATTCCAATTTCCCAAGTGTTTGAGTCGCTTAATTGGGCTTTTAGTCCTTATAAAATGAGGTCTCACTTTTAAAAATAGAGTCCGAGAAAAAAAAATTCATCAGGGGCGAAAGGAAAAAGAAAATCAATATATCGTGATGGACATCTCAGTCTCTTAGCCTTAAGCCTTAACCTAACGGCTTTTCCTGCCGCATATGTTGTAGATGATTATCCTGTCTCTTGAATCCTCTTATCTTCATCTACACCGTCACCATGCTCGCCCGGGGCCCATCATTCACCAAATTCTCCACCACAACCATATTCATCCTAACATGTCTCTTCTTCATCCTCTATTACCACCCCATGAGACTAGCAACACCAGAAGGGCCCATTGAATATGATCCATCCAGAAAGGACTCCCAACCCGCCTCGCCGCGGATCCCAGAGAAGCTCTGGTACAAAGTTGGACCTAAAGGGTTGAGCGACCAGTCACACTCATGGCTGGACGACTGTCTCCACAAAAACCCAGCTCATAGCGCGCAGATCATGACCGACCTCACGGGCGATCAATACGTTGAAGAAAACTTCAGCGATCGTCCCGATATCGTGCACGCCTACCTTTCTCTATCCGTGCCGATTCTGAAAGCGGATTTCCTGCGCTATCTGCTTCTTTTCATCGAGGGGGGCATCTGGGCGGATCTTGATGTCTCGTGTGGTGATGTACCCATCAGAGAATGGATCCCTGAGACTATCCGCGCTAAAGCTGGGCTTGTTGTTGGGTGGGAGTTTGATGTTGGCTGGGGGGATGGGTTTATTCGACAGTTTGAGAGTTGGACTATTATGGCGGCGCCCGGTTCGTCGCATCTTTTGATGGTTATTGATGATATTATGGATGGGATTCGGCAGAAGACCGCGGAATATGGGGTTCCTGTTTCTGAGTTGACGTTGGAGATGACGGGGGATGTGATTGACTTTACGGGACCCAGGCGGTTGACCCGTGGGGTTTTGAAGAGTTTGGAATTGGTTCGCAATGAGACGATTGATATGGCGAGTATCTCGAATCTCTTGGAGCCTGTTTTGATTGAGGATGTTTTGATCTTGCCGGGGTATTCATTCGCTGCAACGTCGAATACTTACAGCAATGAGAATGTCACTGGTCCTTCATTGGTCCAGCATCATTATGCTGGCAGTTGGAAGAATCATAATGGTGGTGAGATATGACCGGGGGATATGGATTCATGTACATTTAATCTTGCATCTTATAGACCGTTATGAGAGTTATAAATAAGACTTCACGAAATTTCATGTAATGATTTTCCCATTTTTTGAACAGCTAGATTCAAATGTTGATCAGCACTATGGTAATGCACGAGACAAGAAGTTTCTCAGGAATTCCACCGGATAAGTTCCCGCTCAAGAAGAACGACATCATCAGTCATAAGGTATCGGGGAACTTTTTGTGAAAAAAAAAAAAACAAGATCGAAAGATCGTAAATATTGGTGGAAATCCCAAACGCCACGCTGAAGTAACAAAAAATTCGAACCAAACATCTAATTCCTGATTCGAGTAAGATAGATCGTGTCCAATTCACTCCTCATCAGTCTCAGTGACATCGTCGCCGGATTCATCATCAGACTCGTCAGCTCCGCTGTCTGACTCGTTGGCGTCGTCGAGACCTGGAATACCGCGCCACTCGACGTAGTCGCCTTCCAACCAGCGACGGCTGCGGGGAAGTTGGTAGGGGTCGAAGGGGAAGTATGCGTCCAGTTGGTAGCCGATGTTATCACCAGCGCGGATCTCACGACCGACGTGGCTGAAGCGAGGGTCGGAGAGATTGGAAAGGTTCCTGAAGGCAGTCACGCGAATGCGCTTGTTGGTCTCGAGGAGAGGATAGACGTATAGGAATTGGAAGTGGTGGGCGATGCGGGCGAACTCGGCAACGATGGCCGGGGAGCACACCTTGAGCGGATTGAGTCGCGAATAGATGCATTTGTGAAGGAATTCTTTGATGTTGGGAGGGAATGTGATCTGGCCCGGCTCAAGCTCATCCACCTGGTCAGGAGTATCACCATCAGCGGCAGCGGTCGTCAGATCCCGCCATCGGAAACAGAAGATGTACAGAAGTGCTTGTGCGGTGGAGTAGAAAGGTCCGTAGCGACGGAGATCGGGACCGCGGCAGCTATCCTCATAATCCATACGTAAGCTATTGAGGTGTGTGAGTAGAAGGTCGAAGACATCGCGAACCACTTCTCCGGAGATATGGGCACCACGTGCAACAAAGCTGGCTAGGTATGCGGCTGCGGACTGGCGCAGGATGCCAGGCTGCAGCTTGTTGAAGATAAGCTGCACAAATGTGGACGCGAAGCGATCAACGAGCACGGGCGAGGCCTGGGAGAAATGGAATAAGAGGAACTGCGAGTGACGGGATCGGTATGTAGGAAGGATGATCGACTGGAAGTGGCTGAGGAGCAGATCCAACGCATTCTCCTGATCATCTAGGGTGCCCGAGGTGAACGGGGGCGAAAAGTATTCAAAGAGGATATCAATCATGCCATCCACTTTGAGAATGTTGTCCTTGATCTTCTTGGCCCCCTTGGTCTCGTCATCTTCTGATTCCTCGCTGGCAATCGAGGCATCATCATCTTCCTCATCGTCAACCTCATCCAGAATTTCTTCGCCGACCTCCTCTTCGAAGTCCTCCATATCGACCTGGATTTCAACGTCGACCTTGACAAGCTTCTCGGTGATAAGAGCCAGGATGTCAGACTGGAGCTCTCGGGCGTAGGTGATGATTTGGATGAGATTGCGAGTGTAGGTGACATTCGCACTAGCTGAATCTGAGTCGACGGGGAACTGGGTAGACAAAATCGGGGAGAGCGATCCACTACCGGCCGGGATGAGCCGCAGCACATGGCGCATTGCCATATGGACTCGAGTATGCATTTCGGATGGTGACACAACGGCGTAACCAGGGAGTCGACCGATTCCTCGAGGGATGGATCCGAGTTTGGTGGCTAGCATCTTCAAGACAGGACCGAGGAAGGTACCCTGTGCGGCGGCAAGGTTTCCTAAGAACCGGATGTACAGCTTCACGTAGGATTCGTCCCGTCCGAGCCACTCGCTGTTGATGATGGCATTGACCAACCCGCTGCAGGAGCGGTCCAAGGAGGCGACATGCGAGATCAGACCAAGAAGGTGGTTCCGCAAAGATGTATGTGTTGGTGATTCATAGGCAAGCAAGCTGTCATCGTCCTTCTTTGTTGGATCGGCAGAAAACATTCCCTTGATTCGGTCGTAGCCTTCGCTTTCTGACATCGTGACATGTCGGTGGATAGCCGCGCGGACCTCCTCCCGAATAAGTGCAAGGCTCTTCTCTGATGAGGCAATATCGTGTATTTTCACATCTTGGTCAAACTGGACGCGGGGTCGCTTCTTGTTGGGAGGAACGGCTTCCGTCGCGTCATCTGCCTGGGATGAGGAAGGGGAGGGGGGAGGTCCATTTCGCTCATCTTGCGTTTCGAGCCGGTGACCACGGGAGGAGCTTTCGAAGTTTTGAGAATCGGGACGGGAGAAGAAGTTGGAAGCATTTTGGATCGGGATATCGTAGGTGTGGGCTGTAGCGCCGGTTTGCGTGAAGTCGTGGCAAGGGAGACCATGGCCGAATGTGAGGAAGAAGGGGTGTAGGACAGGTTCTAGACAGCAACCAGTGTCGACATTTACTCCTCTGCACTCTGGCCGAAATCAAATCCCGTCGACTTTGGATTCAACGTCGGAGCTTATTGAGGACTGGTCCAAGCACACGACACTTTTTGCACGTCGAGATCTTGGGGCTTATGCTACAGATTGGAATAGGAGAAAAGGGCAACAGTCTGTCTGCATCCGTGGAAGTCCAGTTGGTTGAGATAGATAAAATCGGATGCAGACAGAATGGACGAGTTGCTGAATTCAAAGCAAAGCAAAGCGAAATTTTTCCTTCTTTTCCTTCGGTCACTTGTGGAGCCCAGCGGAGCACCCGTGACCGTGTCGGTGAGCCCTACGCTATGCCCATTTGGGTAATATTGACTTATGTCATCATTTGCTCATTCCAAGATTGTCACATTGTATAACTACATTCTCCTTTACTACTCCTTTACATCTTATTGTATTCAAGCTCAAAGGCACCATTGAAACGTGTCTATTGGAATATATTTGAGACTCCGGAATGAAACATCAATGAGACTCCATATGAGTCATCCATACGAGACTTCCAAAAAGTCCCCTGACATACCCCCAGAATCCTCACAAAGACTTTGTAAACCTCATGAAAGAATCATATGAAGCAGTTGACCCCAAATGAGACACAAATGAATGACGATAAAAGGAAACCGTCTATTACGGGAAGAAAAGAGTAAAATGGCAGGTATAAATTCAAAAATCAGGATTGAGCGTGGGAAAAGGTCCTCCCATGGTATCGTGTAAACAAGGGGCAATAGTCGTAAAAGAAAGAATAATAGTTGGTCGTCATAGCGGGTCAAGCGAGGAATATCCAGTCCTTGCGAGTCCGCAATCTCGTGTCGTTGATCGCCCCGGATCAACCGGGGGGTAAAGGCAGCAATTATGTTAGAACCAAGATGGGGTCATAGGTCCACGTGTGTCCTCGAAAATGTTGCCGTACAGTTCTTCAACTTCCACAAGATACTCTTCGACAGAGAACTTCCTGAGCCCCTTGGCATAGAGAAGCCGCTCTTCATCATCGAGCATATTCAAGCCCCCAAATTCCTCCACAACCTCGTTCACCTGCTCTAGCTCTTTGCCGAATGGATGCGGCTCGGCCTGGAAGAATTCCTGTGTTGCACGAATGCCCGGTGTGTTGCGCGCCGCGTTCAGCGGAGGCGGGGACATCCTAGAGACCGAACGCTTGTGAGCGAGCTCCTGGTGGGACCGCTTGGTGTGGGACAGAGCCCGCTTGGGCACCAGCGGAGCATCTGCCGTTGACGAAGCCGTGGAGGAACGCGGGTGGCTTGTCACCGTCGCCGTGCGCTTCGGGAAATACGACGTCAATGGGTTTGGGTCAATGGGAGAGCTCTCATAGGGAGACACATCGGGCGAGGACATCGAAGATGCGTAACTTTGCGGGGAGAAGGCGGCGTCGGAATCGTCACGCGATCCTAGTGATGAGGCAGATGAAGAGCCGCTGATATTATTGATATCGGGGGCGTCGTAGGCTAGCATGTTCGTCGTGGACAAAAGCTGGACCGGACCAGAGATGTTGCTGCGCTTTATACTTGCCGAGTTGAGTCGCACATGTCCTTCGCCATTATACGCCATGGGTGCGGACACTTCTGGGCGCTTATTGCGCCGGGTGAATGCTCTTGTGAGGGTCGACATGGCGGAGTCGGAGATTTGATCAAGTTCAAAATATGGTAACGGTGCGTTTTGACACGGTCGGGAATTGATTTATAACTCTACACATGCAATGTGTGAGATTTTGTATTTTGCTTTTTTTTTGAGGGGTATCTGGTCGCGGTTTGCGATCGGATGCGTATTTGATTCTCGCGTGGTAAGACGATCGCGCAAAGAATGTAAGATCAACTGGAATGTCCAGTATCAGATTGACCGATTGATTGTAGGTTGTGTTTTCGAATTTCAAATTCTATTGCAACATTTGAAAGATGCAAAAATGAATGTCGAGTCCTCTTTTTTTGGATTTTGCGCAGCAAAATATAGAGGGGAATGAATAACAGTCTCTTGTGTCAAGGAATGGGTGCACCGGTCAAGAATAAAATAGAAAAATAAAAAGGAGTCCAGGATCTCAGATCACTTTGTATCTAGGACTAAAAGAATAGAAGAATAAGGAGAGAATGAAGGAACCAAGACACACACACACACACACACAATCCCAAGGAGGTTGAAGAAAGAGAAGAAGGGGGGGGGGTGTGTCCTCCTTACGGGGGATTTTTGGGCGCTACACCAGCGTTTTGAGGTTGACCAGTAACACACCCCCAAAGGATGTGGATGGAGCCCAACAGGAATTCAACTTCAGAGGATCTGGCTATCAGGGCCCAGTGTTCTCAATGATAGAATGGTTCATCCAAACTTTGGATTTGCCTCTTTCTACTCCGTACAGTACATAAACTACGCCTATTTATTCGCCTCTAGAATCTTGAAGGGATATGGGTATCCCCGAGTTGGTTCCAGCCCCCATCCTACAGGGTCATCTTCCAGGGTGTCGGATATGTGCCCAGGTGGGTATGGAGGGGTCATCGGACAAACGTGTACAGACGTGTACGTGTCCGACGTGTCCTATTTGCGCTCTATCATACCATATCAAACACCCTTGAAGTCTGCAGGTTCATGCGAATACCATCCCTCGTAAAAACTGACCCGTACAGTGTGATGCGATAATATCCCGAGAAATAATATAATTGAAACGGATGCAGGTCCGGGCTCTTAGTCTAAGGGCACGGGCGTTTCACCAACCACTTGTATCCATTCCACGCTCAAAGTACTCCGTAGCCCGTGCCTATGACCCGTTGGCTCAAATTCAGCCAAGTACTAGACGATCCAATCAGAGGATTCAACTGGATGAACTCAGGTCAAGGGGTCTTGTTGCGGGCGCCTGCAGCTGATCGAGTTCGGGGCGGTTAGAGAACTTCCAGATCACTGAGATGGTGTGTGATGCTCGTTATCTGAGTGGACTGGTGGATTTTCGGTGGAGTATTGGTATTTAAAGTCTTCAAAGCCTTCATTTCTGACTCCACCATGAAAATTGTGTGGAGTGGGGGTGAAACCCGCTAGGGTCCAGCAATTCAATGTCATCTGCGATGTATATTCCGTAGTATTGTACTATATTGTACGGAGTAAATGGTCCCTTGATGCTAGATTTTGAACTTGGCTTTGATTTCACAAAGGCATTCGGATGCTTTGATGCTTTGATCTTTAAACACGTGGGTAATTACAAAATGGTAGCCTCAGGCATTAAGGCTTAATAATGACTTGGCGGGTTACATGTGAAACTTCCATATTATTGCGCTAAACATGTTTGGAACATATCACTTCAAAAGTAAAGACTCGGGTTATTGTATGACAGCTCCTCAGCTTTGCTCGGCCCCGTCTCCTCCCCAGCTCTTGCATTCGAAATATCCACAGCATCCTCGCCAGTTATTCCATCTCGGCAACCATCTACAGACGGCACGGGTTCGGGTTCCACCGCGACCTGGTGTCCAAAATAAACCGGCGAAGCAAACACATCAGGATGGGGCTGATGAGCATTGTATGAACTCCCCGAACTGACCCTATTGTTCCTGGGTGGCCATGCATATGAGACTAGTTCGGAATGAGGCTGATCTCTCAAAGTCTGCTGTTTATCGTGGGTGGGAGTGATGGGAATCGCGTAGCCTTGTCCCGATGTATCTGAAACCGCCTCACTTGGCTGCTCAATGGTGAACCGATCGGACATGACCGTCAGCCAGCGCTCCATATCGGGCCATTCTCGAAGGGGCAGCTGAGACCATTCTTCCATGCGAGCGGCCTTGCTTTTGGGGCTAGTATCCGTCTCTGTCGGGGTTTGTACTGCTGTTGGTTGTCCCATTGAACGAATGGTCATCAAAGCCCCGTAAAGAGCTGACTCGGTCTCAATCAGCCTTTCTTCCAATTGGTTCAAGTATCCCATTGGTAAGCCTCTGGACCAATGAGTTAGTTGGTTGCCCCGCGGGTACCTGCATATGTGTAGGCGCTGGGTACTTGCGTTTTTTTACTCTCATGGTAGATGCATTTCGATGTATCCCCTGCGCATTGGGAACAGAACGGACTTAACGAAATGCAAGTTAGAAACGAGGCCAGGTATCGAATTAACCGATGAGAACGTTTTTGATCTTACAGTTTGCGATCACACTGTTTGGTCAGCATTTGTCCTGTTGTTATAAAAGGATAACATACTTTGCGTTTGCGGTGTCTGCATACCCCGCAGGAAATTGGATTCAAGTTCTCTTCTGAGTTCTCTTCTGAGTTCTCTTCTGAGTTCTCTTCTGATGACATCTTGAGTCAGTCGATCTATACTTTTTGTGTGGGTAATGGATTCTAGTCACACCAGGCATGGTGGCACTAGATGCCTTCCGCTTGGACCGCAAAGGCGCCATTTTTTGACTGTGGGGTTATACAATGCAGAATGCAGTGTAATTAATCTCCGAAGATATGCAAGATCTCCGGCTACCAAGGTGATGCTGGCTGGTGAAAGGTTCGGAGTAAGAAACCTCCGGCCAGAATTGGCAGGCACGTGATACTCACCATATTTATGCCGGACCCAATTGGATTTCCTGGGGGCGTTAATCACCAGTATGTATCTCCGTTTAACCTTGTTGGTACTTTGGAAAGACCTTGCGCTGGCGTTCCAATATTTTTAATCTATAATATTCAGACTCAACATGGCTCCAAAGACGTCGAAGGTACTATGTGGATAACCATATAAATCGGACGATATGACTTGACAGGCGATATCTTGGCAAACCGGGGTACGGGCGACTGAGTATGCCCACCCAACACATAACTCTCTGGTTTATATTGCCAGGCACAAGTACCATTGTTGAATCTATAGTTACTTTATAGTTATAGTATTTTTATAAATTAATACTGTTGAGAAACCTGTTACTATGTGGGGAGAAAGCAGAGGAAGAATTATTAATTGATTAAACTAGAAATGTAAGGGGTTATATACCCTGCTAAAACCATCTAATTGTAGCAAACAAGCTAACGAATAGTAAATAACGAACAAATAGGGCTGAGTCTGTAGCAAACATGTATACATATATAGGAGATTGCTCAATAAATACAATATTAATTTTTTAACACCGGGCTCTTTATACTCCTAGGTATTAAGTCTTGACTCTTGATTTCTTACTATCTTATTATCTTACTAACTGAATCTGAACTCAATCTGAATTGAATCTATAAATTGTATAGTATACAAATAAAAGAGAAGTTAAAATTAGTAAATGCTTCAACAAGGAAAAAAAAAACGGACCCTCGCAAGCGAGGGTACCGGGGTCTAATATACAATATAATTGTACTTATTATGCACACATATCAAATAACAAATACCGCTTCATCTGCAGGTCTGCAGGAAGATCATCAAGTTAAACTTCCGCATTAGTCGCCAATTGTTCGTGCGGCCCCCCTCTCCTTCAACTCCTGCATATTGCCAATGAACCCCCTGTTCGCTTAATTAAAGCCACAAGCGGCGATCCAATCGCGACTAAGCGAACACCGAAGTGAACATTAGGTAGTCCCACTGTGTCACACGCGAACATTCTATGCCTCTGAGCTTCCGCGGCCTTGGCCTTTTCCCCTCACTCCTCTCGTTAATGATTTGAAAAATGAAGGTGGGTTGGAATCTAGTCGGATCTGCGATCTCGCTGGCTATGTGCCTCCCTGTGGTATGGGGACAACAATGTTTAGATCATCCAGAAATGCACATCGGTGGCTCTGTAGAGACTAGCAGTGGGCTGGTTGAGGGGCACACTGCTCCTCGCAGGCCCGCGGTCTCTGAGTACCTGGGTATCCCGTATGCTTCGCCGCCAATTGGAGATCTTCGATTCGCCGCTCCAGTAGCCTATAAATCCAATGGCACCATTCAGGCAACTGCCTATGTGAGATACCTCCCTGCGTTCCGTGGTGTATATGGCTAATCGTATCACCAATAGAGCCCGTGCGTATATCATACCCTTACTATCATGATCCAGGTATCTGACCATCATTAGTGATTGTCCTGCAAATGCTGGCTCGGTTCCAGATTACCCTGGTTTTACTCCGCAGGCTCCCAAAATTGTCAAGTCGTTTACCCAGGCTCTGGGTACTTCCCAGAGTGAAGACTGTCTTTTCTTGAATGTGTGGACCCGTCCCACAGTCTCCAAGTTGAAACCAGTCCTGTTATGGTTCCATGGTGGTCGTATGTTCATCTCGACCCTTTATGTTTTCAAGTAATTGACATTTTTTGAAGGTTTCACCGGAGGCGGCGCCAACAATCCATACTATGATGGACAAGCCTTGGCGGATGAGCACGAGGTAGTGGTGGTGACCATTAAGTCCGTACTCTCCATCCTGCATTTACGAGCCGTTACTAATTAATACCAGCTACCGATTGAATATCCTTGGTTTCTCCGGTGCACCCAATCTTCCCCAAAATGTCGGACTGCTGGATCAGCGCTTGGCAGTGGAATGGACCCATCGCAATATCGCCGCGTTTGGTGGGGATCCAAAGCGCATCTCAATATTTGGCCAGTCTGCTGGTGGCTCTGCCGTTGACTATTATTCACAGGCTTGGGTAGATGAACCCCTTGTTGCCGGCCTCATCTCACACTCTGGGACGTCACTCAGCTTTGTGCCCAACACTGCTGAAGAGTCTGCCAGTTACTTTTACACTGCTTCCAAGCTTCTCGGTTGTGGAGACCAGACCAGTGACCCCGAAGAAGTTGTCAAGTGTGTTCGCCAGCAGCCGTACACGGAAGTTGTCAAGGCTGGCGGCAAGGTCCCGCCAGCACCTTCACCAGCCACTCCACAAGCAGTGTTCCACCCGACAGTGGACGATGTTACCGTGTTTAGCAAATACGCCGAGAGATCTGCTGCAGGCAAATTCGCACGTCTGGTGAGTAAAAATCATATCATTGAGCCTATCCTCATAAAGATGCTAACATATCGCAGCCATATTTGATCAACAGCAATCATTACGAACCTGGGTACTACCGCATCAGTGCATTTAATGCAAATATCTCCCTCAGTGATAGCGCATGGCAAAGTTTCAATGATGCAGCTTTCACTTGCCCTAGTGGTGCATCCGCTAGATATCGAGTTCACAATGGCGTTCCGGTCTGGCAGTCCCACTACTTCGGCGACTGGGACAACCTACGCCTGCATCATAACAGTGGAAGCTACCACGGGGCAGATCTTCCTATGGTGTTTGGAACTGGAGAGCAGGTCAGCGGAATCCCAAACAGTGACCGAGAGAATGAATTTGCCCGGTACATGGCTTCCGCCTGGGTTGCATTTGCAAGTGATCCTCAAGAGGGCTTGACTAAGTTCGGATGGCCCCGATACAATCCTAATGGTAAGTTTCCAACCAAAAGTTTCCCAACATTCACATGTCTGACTATCCAACAGAGAAAACACTGGTTGGACTTGCGTACAAGGATGGCTACAATAGCCAGTTGCTCTGGCCTGAGGATGTCGAGCAGGGATGTGCTGCTTTAAAGGGGGATAGCACTCCCGGAAAGGGTGCTTTTTAAAGAACCTTGGAAGGGTGAGATTTGTAGAAGTAAAAGTTCATTTTCACCAAAAGATGATTATAAAATAATACATTCGATACAAAAACATTCTTTAGATATGATGGGCCCAGGCGCCTGTTGCTGACGTAATATGTAACCGTAGGTAGAGCCGGATTTCCTCCCAAGGAAACTCAACTTCGAATATCTAGTTTCCAAAAAATGTGATAACTACATAAAATCTCAGCGCTAATGGCTTCAGCTCCACCTACCAGCATGCAGTTCGAGGAGAATGAGTCTGATTGGCCGTATTCTTCTCGTGCAACCAAGAGACGCAAGCGCACCTCCGTCGCGGATACATCAGGACCCTCGCCTCGCGAGATTGGATTTATGAGAGAGTCTCAAAATAATGGATCTGCGACCTTCCTCGGGAGTTCAAGTGGAATCTATTTTATCCGTCATGTTTACAATGCTTTCGCACGTCGTTCAGCAGACTTGGGCCAAACACGAGCCCGTGACAGAACCTCGGTGCCAGGGGAAGACGACCGGCTACAGCAAAATTCTGGAAGCATTCAAAGTTCGGATGAGCTGTGGGCGAGCGAGGAATTGAATTATGCACCAAATACCTCATTTGCTTTCGACGATCTTGTTCAGTGGACACGCAGCTATTTCGAGAATTGGCATCCAATCTTCCCATGCCTCCACGCCCCGGCAGTCTTGAAAACCATAGAGACAGTCGGTCAAAAGGGATGGAATCGATCAACCGATTAGAACTCATGATTCTTCGCTCCATCATGTCCATTTCTCTCGGTGATGATCGACAGAGAACGTCGTCTGGGTCGAAGCTCAATCCCGTTCCTTCGGTCTTAGTCTTTCGATCCATTCAACATGTGATGCAAGATGTACAAAGCCTCCTTGAAGAGCCAACTAGCTTGCCACTTCTACAAGCAGCATTTACCGCTCAACTTGCACTCGCTTCTCTTTTGCGCCTGAATGCCGCCTCGCGGGTAGGGGGTGTTATCACCCGCACTGCATTCCACCTCGGGTTGCATCGTTGCCCAAGACGCTTTTCTTGCTTTAGCAGTGAAGAGGCAGATATTCGGTGTCGATTATTTTGGTCAATCTATTCACTTGAAAGATATCTTTCTCAGGCTCTTGGGATCCCGCTCTCCATTCGAGACGACGACATCGACGTGTGCTACCCTGATGCCGAGAGACATTCTTCAACAGTCAAATCCCCCGACGATCGCAGATTGCGCTTGCTGTGTTATCTTGCGAGATTTGCACGGATTCGAGGTTTGATTGTTGAACTTCGTAATAAGTCCATTCTCCACAGTCACGCCAGCCAGGTTGAGGCGGCTCATGTTACTGGAGAACTAGCGCAATGGTGGAATGAAGTTTATGACGATGTCAACCCCATTGACGAGCCCTTAGAAGCTGGTCTAGAGCAAGAGCCGATCTTGCAGCCATACCACCGGCTACTCTTGATGATCCTGAGACACGAGGCTATCATCTCGCTTAATCGACCTCTTTTAGCTTCTGAAAAGCCCAGTGCGGATTACAAGAACGCTTTGCAGACTTGTATTGGATCTTCTCGATCCATACTTGCTGCATTGAGAAAGCACATGTCCTCTGAACCGAAATCTCCGCTCTCCTGGCCATGCTTTACCTGGTCAACTTGGATGGCCTGCCTCATTCTAATGTATGCCGCGTGGGAAGAGAAATTTCCCGCGTCCACTGCTCTGAAATATGCGAGAATGGGGATTGCCATTTTGGAAAGCCTATCATTACGCGGTAGCAGCTGGCCAGAGACCTGCATCGAGGCGATCAAAGGCATGGAATCTGCTTTTGAGACACAGACACCCAGTGGCAACCAAGCCAGGGCTAGTGCCACATCTAACGGCGTCGGTAAATCAACTCAACCCCATACCCAAGCTACACCATCGATGGATAAACGAGAATCACGAATACTGCCGGTTCAGGATGGAAATAATGAGACTGGCGATACAGGGCTCACACCAATTCGACCTCAAGTTTCACCGCCGAATGGATACCAAGGTCGTCCAGTCTCTACCGGAATCCACCCGTTCCAATCATCAATTCGTTCTCCTGCCCAAGGCCTTGCCCCCGCAGAAAACTACCAGTCTGCCGTTTTTTCGTCATCTGACAACATCGGTAACTTCGCTGAAGCGCTAGACCCTGCTGAGAACTATGTTAGTGGACAGTCTTCAGCTGGTCTCATTTTCGGTAACATGGCTGACGGAAACTCTGCTTTTAATCCGAGTTTTGCTGGTCAAGACTCTTTGCCGTTTTCAACATCTATGCTCATGAACGATTTATGGAGTGTGGCCGATGGCCCATGGCTGATTCACAATAACTTCTTGTGATTTCCGATACATAATACATCAAAACCATATGTGTAATAGTCAAGTTCTGCATGAAAAATGTAGCCAACGCTTCCAAGTTACCTCACTAGTACAAATCAATATCCACTACTGTCCTATCCTGATCTAGAACAACTCGCAAGTGGCCCTTATTATCGGCATTGGGTGCGCTCAACGCAAAGAATCCCCGTCTCAACTGGTCAAGATACAGTTCATAAGCTGCCATGTACCCTTTGACGAATTGAACAACTTGTTCATCAGTCATACTCTCGTTCGTCCGCGCGCGGAGAGCATGCTCCTGTTGCATCCGCCATCGATAAACGTTAGCCAGATCATCGGTATCCAAATGAACAAGGAAATCCAAGTGCTGTGGTCCCATGAAAAGATCGCAGTAACCGCACAACTGCGTGTTCACATCCAGCAAGTGCCCAACCGCATGATCCCTCAGGGTTTCCGTTGGATATTCCAACCCAGTCTGCTTCTGTAATCCTTCCTCCCATCGTTGTCGAACGGCCGTTTTCTCCAGTGGCTGGAATCCAACACACCAGCCTTCAAAAACAACAACGTCGATCCTTGTTCCAGCTGGGACACGGTCCCAGGTCTCTTTGGGTGTCCTCCCACCCTCGCCGTTGAACTTGCTCTTGTCAAATGATGGGATAAGTATCTCCGAGCCCGTTCTCAAGCTTTCGAAGAAAGAATGCGCAAGGGCCATGTCATGTGTTCCCGGTTGGCCTCGTGTTTGATAGTTTATTGGATGGATTGGCCGTGCGAAGTTGCACGAGATCGTCGTGGTCAAGATATAGGTCGTCGAGTGACAAATTGATTGTGTTAAAGCCGTGGCTTTGTTTTAGCTCTTCCACGATTACATCGGTCCATGTTGATTTCCCGCTGCCTTGGAGACCTGTCAAGCCTAGGATAAAGGGTCGTGGGGTTGTTGAGGCTGGCAACTGACATTGAATATGGCGTTCAATATGGGGTAGAATATGGTTCAAGACGCTGTGTACTGATTCTTGGGGAATTGACATTGTCGTCTCGTGTTTCTTTGGCAATTTCAATTTCAATTGCGGTGGTGAGCATCAAAACTGGATGGAATATACATTAATTCAACTTCCAACCTCGCAGTATTAATGAACAGTTCCCAATGTTTATTACCATTTCTTGACCAGTTGTATGTTTGTTCGCCGTACGGACATGTCTTTCTCCGAGTGGGGCGCTCTATACAGCCAAATGCGGGCATTCGAATCTCCGTCTACACCCCCGCGATAATTCTAGTCGAATGAGCTCGCGATGAGGGGTTAGGCGATATGGTTATAGGCAGATTGCAAGTGGAGACTAAAATCTAAAGAATTTGAATCCGATTTTCTTTAAAGGCTTCGTCTTCTGCTGTCTCCCACTAAATCACTCCGGACAAGAACTTTACCACAACATCATCATGTCTGCTCCAGTGGCTAGCCAAAAGACCTACAGCATCGCCTCCATCCCAGCCGATGGAATTGGCCCAGAGGTCATCAATGCTGGTATCACCGCTCTGAATGCCTTGACGGATACCCTAAAGACCTTCAAGTTGGAGTTCAAGAACTATGATTGGAGCTCCGATACCTACAAGAAGACCGGCAAATACATTCCCGATGGTGGACTTGAGGAGCTCAAGAAGCACGACGCGATTTTCTTCGGCGCTGTCGGCGCTCCTGGTAAGCAGATACAACCAATCCCTTGAAATAAATGATACTAAACACGAGATCAGACGTCCCCGATCATATTTCCCTGTGGGGTCTGAGACTCGCCATCTGCCAGCCGTTCCAGCAGTACGCGAACGTACGCCCAACACGTGTGTTCCGCGGCACCGAGTCCCCGCTGCGCAAGTGCGGACCCAATGATCTTGACTGGGTCATCATCCGTGAGAACAGCGAGGGAGAGTACGCGGGTCAGGGCGGTCGCTCGCACGCCGGAAAGCCGTGGGAGGTGGCGACTGAAGTTTCTATCTTCTCCCGTCATGGTGTGGAGAGGATTATGCGGTTTGCCTTTGAGACTGCGCAGAAGCGGCCACGCAAGCTGTTGACTGTGGTTACTAAGAGTAATGCCCAACGCAACGGCATGGTTCTGTGGGATGAAGTGGCTAAGCTTGTTGCTGTTGATTTCCCCGATGTCACTGTGGACAAGATGCTTGTTGATGCTATGACTACCCGCATGGTTCTGAAGCCCGAGAGTCTCGATACTATCGTTGCTACCAATTTGGTGAGTTGCTGGAATGAGAAATTGCGCGTAACTAGGTCTGTGGACTGACGATTAACTAGCACGCTGATATTCTCTCTGATCTCGCTGCCTCTCTGGCTGGATCTATTGGTATCGCACCTACCTCTAACCTCGATCCTACGCGGGAGTACCCTAGTATGTTCGAGCCTATTCACGGCTCCGCTTTTGATATCACTGGCATGGGTATCTCCAACCCCGTGGCTACATTTTGGACGGCTGCGGAGATGCTTGCTTGGCTCGGCGAGGAGGAGGCTTCCAAGCAGCTCTTGGTTTGTGTCGAGAATGTCTGTGAGCAAGGAATTCTTACCCGTGACTTGGGTGGTGATGCCACGACAAAGCAGGTCACCGATGCAGTTGTGGCGGAGATCAAGAAGCTTGTTTAAGTTGTGTCAGAGCAGATTGTATAAATTGAACATAAGTTTAAAAATTGAGGCCAAAAGCAGAAGGTTAAGTTCGTTTAAAATATCATTTTTTTATTTAGAACATGTAGCAAAATAGTGTGCTTTTCCACGTATAACCTTCAATATATATCTCGCTCGATCAATACTCGAGTCTCTATGATCGTCCATCTCGACCGCCTTTCAACCTCCATCAATTCTCAACCACTCCCACAAGAATATTGAATGGAGCGCCCATCTAAACGAGCGAGAATCTTGTTAGATTCCAGTGATGGCTCAGCGACTACATCTCTAACGTCTTTACATAGAGCCATTAGCCCACCATTGCCACGAGGCTGTCCCGGACTGACTGATGGTGACTTGACTTCTGACACGAAAGGCACGGCTCGCCCTACCCAGTTTGTCAATTCGCCAGTCCAACTGACGCATATTCGAGATTTACCGGATGGTAATAATGTCGACGCCGTGCGGCTACGCGACATTCTTGGGGATCCTATGATCCGCGAATGCTGGCAGTTTAACTACCTTTTTGATGTCGATTTTCTTATGTCACAGTTTGACGAAGATGTCCGCGGTCTTGTACAAGTAAAAGTCGTGCATGGATCATGGCGAAAGGAGGATACGAATCGGATTCGAGTTGAGGTAAGTTTGCACTGACAAGGCTTTTCCATTGAATTGCCTTCATCTGTTTGACTCGTCTCATCAGTTACTGAGACATCGAAGTAACGTGGTACTAACTTGCTACTAGGAAGCCTGTTCGCGATATCCTAATGTTGAGCCTATTGTGGCCTACATGCCGGAGCCTTTCGGGACACATCATTCCAAGATGATGATTCTTCTTCGACATGATGACCTGGCTCAGTAAGATTCTTTCAGACATTAATGATCGCTATAGCCCGATATGCATCTGACCAAATAATCAATAGGGTTATCATCCACACGGCAAACATGATACACATGGATTGGACCAATATGACACAAGCCGCCTGGCGCTCTCCTTTGCTTCCCCTGCAGAAGGCAAGCTCAGCAGAATCTCAGACAGACGCCAAAATCGGCTCGGGCGCACGATTTAAAAGGGACCTCCTCGCTTATCTGAAAGCGTATGGACCTAAAAAGACCGGCCCACTAGTCCAGCAACTGGATAAATATGACTTCAACTCTATTCGCGCGGCCCTCATTGCCAGCGTCCCGTCCAAACAACACGCCAGTGACTCCAGCTCAGAAGAAGATACATTATGGGGCTGGCCAGCTCTGAAAGACTTGCTAAGCCAAATACCCATCCAGCAGAAAAACACAAGCAAGAAACCACACATAGTAATCCAGGTACGTATCTCCAGACAACCCATCACGCCCACAAATAACCAAACCACCAACAAATCCAAGATCTCTTCAGTAGCAACCCTCGGCCAAACAAACAAATGGCTCAAAGACGTCTTCTTCAAAGCCCTCACCCCATCCAAAACCCCACAACCAACAACCTACTCAATAATCTTCCCAACCCCAGACGAGATCCGCCGCTCCTTAAACGGCTACAACTCCGGCGGCTCAATCCACATGAAAACCCAAAGCGCAGCCCAACAAAAGCAACTCCAATACATGCGTCCGTATCTCTGTCAATGGGCGGGCGACTCGCTCCCGCCAGGCCAATGCATCGACTTATCCGAAGACGATCCCCCAAGACGGGAAGCAGGCCGCGCCCGCGCAGCACCACACATCAAGACTTACATTCGCTTCGCGGACTCGGATATGAAAACTATTGACTGGGCGATGGTGTCGTCGGCGAATTTGTCCACGCAGGCGTGGGGCGCGGCGACGAATGCTAGTGGCGAGGTGCGCATTTGTAGCTGGGAGATTGGGGTTGTTGTTTGGCCAGAGCTTTTCCGTGATGAGGGTTGTGGCGATGCTGTGTCTCCATCTAAATCTGAATCTGAATCCCGGACGGAAAGGGAATCACAATCCTTTGCCCCGGACGCGCTGATGGTTCCTTGCTTTAAGCGAGATCGTCCTGTTGTGACCGAGGGAGCCGAGGCGGCTTCTGTGGTCGTCGGGTTCCGGATGCCTTATGATCTTCCGTTGACGCCGTATGGTGCGGGTGATGAGCCATGGTGCGCGACTGCTTCGCATACTCTGCCGGACTGGCAGGGGCAGAGCTGGATGGACTGAGTCTGCTGTCTTTGCATTTAGTGGTATTGGCTATATCTGGTGGTTTTTTTTTTTTTTTTTTTTTTCGTCTCAGCAGTTCACGCGTGTGAGTCGCATAGTTATTTCAGTATTGTATACGGGCTTGTCAGGTACGCGAGTATTGGGCCATGGAAAGTAGCATGCATTTGTATTCGTTTATTCATCCCGAGAATTTTGAGACAATACGATTATCTCTTGTCTTTCGATAACCGTCTTTCCAAAATCTCACACAACAATATATCCCGTTCGATAGATCGCGAGTTCATTCTCCAAGACCAGTTCTCCCCATTGTATCATCTATTCGTCGCGGGTGCCGTACTTCGCAATGAGGGTGTTGACGTGGCCGATGTAGAGCTGGTGAGCCTTGGCGGGGCTGTAGTCCTTGACCTTCTCCCAGGCACCGTAGAGTTGCTTCTTCTGTATTGTTGCAAAGAATGAATAGTCAGCTACCGGTCTCCTTCCAAAGGAACATGCTATAGTCCGGGGCTTTCCCGAGCTCGCAATCAACGAAATTGAACATACCTGGATATCGAACATGCCGGGCTTCTCCATCACGTCACCCTTGCCAACCTTGAAGTAGATGTAGAGGTCCTTCTTCTCCAAAAGACCGGGGGAGGTCTTCAGCATCATAACAGCCTTGGCGGCGAACTCGAAAGCCTTGCGGAGGGTCTCGGCCTCGGTGGCATCATCGAGCTTCTCGAACTCGCCCTGCTCGGCGACCTTCTCGAAGATTTCCTTGAGAGCTGCGATGTCGATGCCGGCGGCGGCTTCTTGGACCTCGGGGGTGAACTTCTCTTTCTTCTGGGCGGTCTCTAGGACGGTGAGGAAGGGGGTGATGTCGGACATTTTGAATTTGAGGATATTTTATTATTGTGTATGAGGAGAAGTAAAAGTCAAGAGCTGAGGATTTATATGGTTGGGATGTTGGAGATCGTTGAGGGCGGGGTCGGGTATAGGTGGGGTCGCTGACACACTCGCCAGTTGATGGATTTTCAGGCACGGGTCTTACAGCACAAAAGGTACTATATGTAAATTGGTATAGAAGCTACAGGATTAATAGAATAGCTATGGAGTAAACAGGAAACCCAAATAGTGCTAACATATTCAGCAATTATTTAAAAAAAGATCATATTTATTTCAAGAACCACGCCAACAGATGCATGTCCACATGCAACGGCTGTGGAAATCACTCGCTATGCACCAGAAAAAGAGACGAGAAGTAAATTCCAGGGATAATGTGCAAATTCAAATCGAGAGCGCCATCACCAGTCCACGGCCCATCCATTGTTCGTAAGGAATTCCTCACAAGCAGCCTTGAGAGCATAATTGCTCCGCAGATCATGAACACTGATAGGAGCCCGAGTCAAAGGATCAACGCCGGACTTCTCAACATATTTAGTGATTCCCAAACGATCGAAACTGACCCCCGACGGTGTAATAACCGGATCATGCATGATCTCAAATGTGATACCATCAATGAGATAGTCAGGAACAACCTAAAATCAAAGCCCAGTCAACAAACAACCCACCAACTCCAACCCAAACGGAAAAACAAACCCTTTCTTGAATATCACCATTAGAAGCAACTCGAAATGCCTCCCTCAAATTCCTAACTTTAGTCTCGGCATCCTCCCGCAACGACCTCTGATCCTCCCCAAACCCAATCTCTCCAATCTCCCCGCGCTCGAATCGCCCCTGCAACTCCGCCAGCGCACGCGTCACATCGGCCTCAACGAGCGCCTCCACAGAACCGAGAGTCTCATTTAGCTCGCGCATGCGAGATGTCTCGCGCACAGCCCAGAGTTGCTGTTTCGCGCGCAAGACTATCCGCGACAGGTTCTCCGTTTGGGAATTCTTCGCTGCTAGACTCTGTTGGTATGCGTCGGATGCGACGTCGTGTGCTTCCTGTGGGCGCTGGAGGGCTAGGAGGGCTTCGGCGAGGTAATAGTGGCTCTTTAGGGCGATAGGGTTCTTTAGGCCGTATATTTCGATTGCGGCGCGGGCGTCATGTTCGACATCGGCCCATTTGGCCAGCTTGATTCGGGTTACCGCGCGGTTTGTGAAGAAGGTTGCATCTTTTGGGTTCTTTTGGATTCTTTACAATGGCAGGGAAGGTTGTTAGTTTGGGGATATTTGAATGATTGTTGGGGGTTGCGACTTTGAGTTGGGGGGGGCGGATAGATCGGAGATGTCGGATATGATAGCTTACGCTTGGGAGTAGAAATCTTCGGCACCACTGTAGTCTTTAGATTTGAAGAGCTCATTGCCCTTGGCCTTAAGTTCTTGCGCCATGGTTTATGTGTGAGTGAGGTCTTTGGTTTCTGCTGATCTGATCTGATCCCCAATGTGGGGCGGTCCACCATATAAAGTCAAGAGTAATAGGAGTGGATATTGCAGTAGTTCATGAAAAACTGATGGGGGTCTGAGGGTTTAAGGGCCTTTGATCTGCAATTACTTGTGTCAGTGGTGTCAGTGTCAGTACCTTTGTGGAATATCTTTGTGATTTCAGACAAATCGTAACTATTCCAGTACGAATGGAAACTCATAGAATTCCCGCGGAAATTCTGAGTCAGCTCAATTGGTTCACTGCACAGTCCCGGAGTATATATAACTACTCTCTTCTATAGATTATTCTGCATGGTTTGGACTGTAGTTATTTCATTCAGTATGTACATATCTATGTGACCTTCTAATCCAAAATCTGGAAGCAGAAGTAACATTTGGTTCGTGGTATCATGCGCTGTGAGAACTAAGAAAGACATAACAATTGTGCAGACAAGTCGATAAAACTTGACAAGTCATGCTCTGTCAGGGGAAGGCAAGGATGGCGACAATACCAGGGTGATTCTCAAGACATCTCCAGGTGTTTTGGGTGTCAAGTGAGACAAAACGAGATGAAGAACAAAGACAGGAGTCTAAGCAGCAGTGCGGAACTGGACCTCATAGTCTGTGATGGCCTGGACCTTGGCAGCAGAGGCAGACTTAGGGTCGAAGCGGTAGTTGAGCCAGTCTGTAGCGAGTTTCTTGGCCAATTCGACACCGATAACACGCTGACCCATGCACAGGACTTGAGCATCGTTGCTCAGGATGGAGCGCTCAACGGAGAAGGGGTCGTGGGCAGTGACAGCTCGGATACCGGGAACCTTGTTGGCGGCGATGGCAACACCCAGACCAGTGCCGCAAATGAAAAGACCACGATCAGCCTTGCCATCCATGATGAGCTTGGCTCCCTCGACGGCAGGGTGAGGATAGGCAGTCTTATCGGAGGATGAGTTGACACCAACGTCAATAATCTCGGCGACAAGAGGGTTCTTCTCAAGGGTGGCCTTGATGGCATCCTTGTATGGGACACCAGCCTCGTCGCAGGCCATAACAATGCGGAAAGGAGTAGACATGATGATGAAGGTATGGGGAGGATGAAGAATGTACAAATAATAGTATGAATTGAATCAAAGTAGATAATATAAGATAAAGAGAGAGAGATATTGGTTTAATGTTGGATATAGAAAAGAAATACTGATGTGAGAGTACACAAAGGGGGGTCTTTATATCTTTTTTACTCCTTCCCCTCTCTCTGTCCTTGATAGCCATCAAACCCAGGTCCAGCCAATCCTTGCATTTGATGGTATCATCATTTACAGTCGTTCTCCACTGGGAAACTCGAATGGTCTTTTGATATTACGCGTATTTCCAGCGTCCAGGGTGGCCCCCAGCATCATAGCACCCCAACGACGGACTATGAGTGGTCAGCGCCAGAAAGAGGTTAAACCGAGGTCGGATACTTTAGGAGCCTTGTTTTGGGCCATACATGCATCTTACCGCGTATTACACGGGATGTTTTATTAAACCTCGCTGGCGCTGTCTTGGACAACGCCCCCTCAGGCTTCATATTCTGCCACACTCAAGCCATCGATGTCAGTGGTAAAGGCACCTGCGCAACTTACAAGACACGACGGGCAAGACGGCTGTGGCTTTTTTTACATGGGACATGGCTGTTCAACTTCTTTCTTAAATATTGGTGCCTCGAGGCCAAGGACCGGGAGTCTTAGGTTTCACCTTTTTCCCGACGCGAGGATTGGTTTTGGTGGCTAAGGGCCTGGGCACCTCGTATATTGGGGGAATCCATGGGCTATGGCCCCAGTCGGGTGTCATCCAGACGGGAAGACAGGATTTGTCGAAATTGACCTCATAACCGGGAACTAAGTTCTTAACCGGGAAGTTCAATTGCCATTTCCTAAAACCTGGACATGAGATAAAGACGAACCCTAGGGATATTCACACCAACATATCAACATGTAAATTGCCTCATAACATTAATTCCCCAAAATCAAATGCAATCGAACAAATACATAAGTACATCCCTCAGACACTAACATAGTTGATGTGCATTGCCTCTTTACAAGGTTACCTACTCCACTTTCTCACTCCACTGTCTCCAATGTTGTTGGTTGCTGTCAACTCTACTATGTAGTCCATCGGTTCTCCGGATTGTACTATTGTACGGAGTACAATGTACTTAGGATTTTCCTTTAGATCGGCACTATAGAATATTATACATTGTACATCCTGTTCTAAATTTATATAATAGATACAATAGAAATATAATAAAAATATAGAATACAACAGACACATTTAAAATATACAGGATGTACGTAAAGGCCAAAGCGCAATACAGTATCACCCAAATACATACATAGTTTCTATTAAATCTGGGGTACTTGATACTCCATTAGCTTGGCCTATTATAGTCTTGTCAACGTTCATTGGACTCCGGCATTGAGTACTCCGAATTATTACTTTGTATATACCCCTGTCTGGACATGATGTGACATCACGTAACTATAGTTAGTTATAGGTAACTACATATAACTACCTAGGTATAGTCCTCGGCACTATACCCTGATCTGAATGCCCCTCTCATACCATTTACATCCATTGTACACTAAACTGCACTAAACCTGATGGGACAATCGGAACGTCTAGCGCAAAAACGCTAATGCAGCGCATTGACACTTGAAATTATTTGGATACTTGGAATTACTTCGCTTCCACTTTCCAACCTGTTCCGACATTCCCCCTCCCGGGAACGCTAAGCATATCCCCCATCATAACACCATAACACCATAACACCATAACCATAACACTGGACAAACACACACCACCCATCACCATGGCATCCTACCCAATCCTCCCAGAGAAGCTCCTCCTCATCTCCCTAAAGATGTACTTCACCCCAGATCAGACACTCACCTACCTCCGCGACCTCCTCAACCCAACCAACGAGATCGTCCACCCCGCAAATAAAGACAAACTCCTCCTAGCTCTAATCCCAGACTTCCTAACAATCTGGCCCTGCGCCCAAATCCTCAAAGAATACGAAACCAACCTTCCCACCACCACCACCACCACCACCACCATTGGAACCCGCCAACCCAAACCCTCACCCACCTTCCTCCTCGGCGCACAAGACTGTTTCTGGGAATCCCAAGGCGCATACACAGGCGAAGTCTCCCCAGCCTCAATCCGCGCACTAGGCTGCACAATAATCGAACTAGGCCACGCCGAACGCCGCGCCATCTTCAACGAAACAGACGACCAAACCGCCCGAAAAGCAGCCGCAGCCTGCGCACAGCATATGGTTCCACTCGTCTGTATCGGCGAGGTGACAGCTCCCGGCCCAATCGTCTCGCAAGCTGTCGGCCAGGCGGTGACGGAGTGCGCCGTGCTGGTGCGCGCTGTTCTAGCTGCTATCCCGGACGACGCGCCCGTTATCTTTGCTTACGAGCCTGTTTGGGCTATTGGCCAGCCGAAGCCGGCGGGTGTTGATCATGTTGCTGCGGTTGTGCAGGGTGTGCGTGCTGTTATTGGTTCCCGGAGTGGTACGGCGCGGGTCTTGTATGGCGGTAGTGCGGGGCCTGGTCTTTGGGGGGCTGGGGGGGCTTGGTTGCGCTGTTGATGGGATGTTTTTGGGCAGGTTCGCGCATCAGATTGAGGGTGTGCGGGAGGTTGTTCGTGAAGTTGAGGAGACGCTGGATCTGGTGTGATGATGAGGATGTTTTGGTTGGGTTTGCTCATGCGCTTTGTATGTCATATACACATGCAATGCGTTACGCATCTCAGGTATTGTCCTTCGACACCTTGACACCTTGACAGTCTATCATTATACAGATATACGGTATTGTGTTTCGCACTTTACGGTTCCTCGTCATTGTCATACGGAATAATACATAACATTGACTTAAAACAGAAAAAAAGACAAATGACAGATCTAGACATACAAAGTCCTCATTGGATCAAAAACAGAAAAGTGGAAATGTTCCAGCTCCCGAGGATTCTCGGGAAGCCTATCTGGGGGAACCCGCGCTGGAGAACTTCCCCGGTTTTTCTCTTCTGTGAACTTGTCACGCGGTCGATCAGAGATTTACCTCAGATGACTTTTAAAGCTTTTTTGTTTTAGCTTCGGCTTCTTCTTCGATAGGTATTCTTCCTTGATCCACTTCCGTGCTTGAGTGGGTTCGTTGTGGACTCTACAGCTCCATTTTGCACTGATCGAGTAATCCGAGAGCTATTGATATACATCTATCGCAGTGTGTGAAGACTTACCGACATTGATTTGATCAATTCCCTTTTTTTATATTTCTTTTCGGTACTGCCTGACTCGGTCGTTTCCATTGCATATTAACCCTGTCAGGTGTCTATTAATATATCGAATCTCTCGGACGAGAGACCACGCAGAAAAATGACGAATGAAGAATGCAGAAGATTACTTTTCTTGTTCATATCCATGTTATTTACATGATCTATCAAAGATCGAATGACAATAAAACTAAAAAAAAAAAAAAAAAAATTGGATGCTGTAATCACACCGCTTATTTCTTCTGCAGCTCCTGACGCAGCCCCTGCTTGACACGTGTGACAGTGCCAGCACCACCGTAGACAACACCAGTGTACATCATAGCGACCGAAGCACCGGCCTTGAGAGCCTCGCGCGCCTCCTTGCCGGTAGTAATACCGCCCGAAGCGAAGATAACCTTGCGGGGAAGGTTGGACACCTTCTCAACAGACTTCTCCGAGTCGGTCGCAGATGGGGGTCCCTGATCAAGCAGGGCGCGGTAGCGAGCGACAAGCGAAACGGAGCGGTCAAACAGCTGAGGGCCAGAGTAACCACCGGTTTCCTTGAGAGTCTTCTGTTCCTCGGCGGGGAGGACGAAACCCTGGGGCACGGGGTCGGGACGACGGTTGGTGGTGTTACCGACGATGACACCGTCGACGCCGGAGTTCCAGACAGCCTCGCAGATACCGGAGATCTGCTCGGTGGAGTCCTCATCCGGGCTGACCTTGACCATCACGTAGGGCTTGGTCTTGCGCTCGATGTTCTTGGCGGAGGCGACGACTGCAGTTAGGATTGCTGTGAGAGGTGCCGCGGCTTGGAGGTCGCGCAGGCCTGGGGTGTTGGGGCTGGAGACGTTCACGACGAGGATGTCGGCGTACGGCGCCACCCGGTCCACGCAGTAGACGTAGTCGCGCTTGATGGCTTCGATGTCTCCGTCGGGGGTGAGCTTGTTCTTGGCAACTTGCACGGCGAGAAGCTTGCCTGGGACCAGACTTCCGGGTGGGACGTTGGCTTCGCCGTCCAGGACGCGCTGCTCGGCTTGTTCGTGCAGGCCGAATCCGGCGGCGTAGGCGAAGTCAGTTACGCGCTGCTTCAGAACCTTGGCCATGTGGTCGGCGCCCTTGGAGTTGAGGCCGTAGCGGTTGATCATGGCGTGTTGCGAGGGTAGTCGGAACACTCGAGGCTTGGGGTTTCCTTCCTGCGGCAGAGGGGTGGTGCCGCCGACCTCCACGATAGCGGGACCGATGTCGAACAGCGCATCGGGGACCTCGGCGTGCTTGTCCAGACCGGCGGAGATACCGATGGGGTTGGAGATGGTGTATCCGAAGACCTGGTAAGCGGATCTCGTTAGTGATTGGCTATCGGCCGATTTGGGAATGCCATTACCTCAGTTGCCAGGGCACCATCACGATCGGGTTCGCCACGCTCGCGCGGGTGAAGACCATACTGGTAGAGCATCTTCAGGTTCTCCACGCCGCTGTGGTGTGCATCCTCCGCATCGGGCCACAGGACGCGGATCAAGGGCACAATGCCGTATCTGTGGATACTGGCTCTGGTGTCGGTTCCATAGATGTAGCCCACCAGCAGGGTAAAGGCCAACGAGGCACCGTACAAGGTCTTCCTAGAGCCACGGCCCGCTTTGCGGGGAATCTCCTTGGTAGCCTCCTTTGTAGCATCCTTCACTGTCTCCTTAGCTGCCTCGGCGGGTGCAGGTGCAGCCGAGTCTGAAGCATATCGCGAAGCACCGGGGTAGCGCTGGGCCCGCTTCGGTAGCAATGCCGAGGGTCGTTGGGTCAAGCGAGAGGTGGGAAGCGCGCGAGCCCGGACGCTGGCTCTCCAGGCCATTGTTGCGGAATTACAAGCCATTTTGATTGTGTGGAGCTAATTATCTTCGCCGGCGGAGCAACGCCCGATCGAACCTATACGGCGGTTAGTACTTGCGATCAAGAGTGGATTGTGACTTGGGTCAGAGGGCTAGTTAAGCTCCAATCGACTTGCATTGTGGACTAGCCAATTGGAACAGTACATACAAATCAATATGCACCTAATAAATCACTTACAATTGCAATTGAGCACGATCCGAGGTTCTCGCACGTCCCTTGCAGTTCTCGAGGGCGGATTCGGGTTCTTTGCTGCACAATCCGGGCGGTGGCAATAGGTCATGCAGAATTTCCAGGGCGGTAGCTTTATATAGTTACGTCGCTGGATGTTCACTTACATAGTTACCTATCTACTTCGTTTTGTTTACCTTCAGTTATGATTATATTGATTGTTGGTGATTGGAAGCTGCTCCATAATATATTTCATCTCTACATATCGAAGAATATCCAGGCTTTATAGGCAGAATGAATGAAATATATTGACCGACGATCTTCTCTTCGGTCGACGCTGTTAGTTTAGGTAAAACCCTACTGGCACAGTAAAAGGACAGTATTTGCCTCCATTGACAGCAGCCAACATGCAGTCAGTATATGGCATAGTGTATTTGTGATTGAGTCTGGGAATGAGATCATGCATTCCCATCTAGCAGCCATAGAAAAGAAGTTATGACCGAATAATGCTCAAAGAGGAGAAACACATGAAATGTAACAGACGATAAAAAAACACATGTGTACCAGTCAATGCGGCCGTGACCTTAATCAAACAGGGAAAAAGGTTAGAATTGACGGTAGGCATATTCTCACCATATATGGTGTCCTGGTGAGCGTTCATAGTAGAATGATGGTCGACACAAATTCGGTAGCTCCACTGCTGCCGACTCAATGTCCAATCCAAAAAGCCGAATCATTCAAGATGAAAGATCGGTATTCCACATTATGATAAAGTTTCATCAGACTCCATCTCGCGGGAACAACCTTTGGTTGTTGAGGGTTGGAAAAGTTTCGCCTGAACTGCACATGGCAGAGCCTTCATGTCGCCAATTCAGCAGGTGGGAGCTTCCGGTGCTCTGATCCTGGTAGCTCTGAAATGCTTTGACCACTCAGTTCCGTGACCTGATTACTATCACTCAACTCCGATACAGGGCCTGGTGGAGATTGGATGGGTTGGCTATCTTGAGGGTGCCTCTTTCGGCGACGGAATAAACACCAGGCCAGCCCAATCAAGATGACGACACCAGCTATACCACCAACCACGCCGCCCGCGATTGCCCCGGTGTTAGAGTGAGAAGTGTCGGTATCTGCGTTGTTCGAGGAGGTGGGAGTTGCGATATTTGTCCCTGGTGTCGACGGGGAGAGTGTTGTAGCCGTGGCAATATCTATGAAATGGTGCGTCAGATTAAGAGAAAAGATAACGATGCACTATATCACAGTGCTGGAATATGAATCTTTGACGATTATTAGGGGCAAGGCTTACCCGAGTTTGTAGAGGCAGGTAAAGTATATTGCACAATTGCTCTCATTGTCTTCACTTCCACATCGAGGTCGTTCATGTCTCGTGGTTTCGCGCAGCCCACATAATTATTTTTGCCGACCGTATAAAGCCCCCGAGTATCATTTTGGCAGCAGAAATAACCCTCGGTGTTTTCAATAAAGTAAAGATCCGCTGTAGGGTCTGCACAGCGCCATTTTTTATCTAATGCAGCTTTGCAATTCTCTGGAGTTGGACAGCATATCCCTGGGCTGTTTGGTTTGGCAGGGCATTCGGTATTTCCCGGACAACATCTTCGAAATGGGCCCCAGGTCTCACCACAATCCGTCTCGCCCCCGGCGCATGAGCCGTTTCGGCGTAGAGCGTAGCCCTGGAGATTTTCGTCTGTTAAAGATGACATTTTAAGGAATATTAGTCCTGCGAGACCTGAGCGAATGGTGAATAGGGGAATAAGTTTTTAGTCGATCGGGGGCGATCACAGTGAGCAACGAGAACCTAGGTACCTTTTAAATGACTATCTTGGAAGGATTAATGCACATCAAATTTACATTCTGGCCCCCGGTGGGGACCACGCTTACCTACAATATATACTCCGTACTGTTGTAGAACAGCTCACATACCCTAAAAGGAGGGCAAAGGAAAGAAAAACCGTGAAATATAAGGCACATATCAGAAGTTTCCTAAAATATATACTTATGGCCGTTTACCTTCAACAGAATTATCTTCGAAATCTACGGAATAGCCAAGTTAGTCGTGGCTAAGACCCTGAACGCCAAGGGTCACTAGTTTCAATATGGATTAACCCTGGCACGGCGAAGCACGATGCGGGATAATCATCGCTGTGTCTCTGCATGTTGTACACGTTATACGGAGTAGAGACTGTTCATGATCTGTGTCTCATAATAACTAGTATAATTGATCCGAGACACTCCTCGCTGCCAGAATACGATCAAATTCAATCTGAGATGGCTAGACGAGGCTTAGGAAGAGCTACAGGGCATAGTGGTAGACCTCTCAATAGCTTCCAAAGCCCAACCTAACCCAACCCGTAAATGGGCTGGGTTTTGGGCCCTACCTTCGACGAAGACGAAGTCATTTTAACCTAGCCCTAATTTGAACACCCGGGCCGCATATCTTATAGACTATATCTTTCTGAAATGGCAAAATTAGCAAAATCATAAGGAGATCTAATGAGTGGAACACCTCGAAAGTCATCACAACAATCCTAGGCGCAGGTTACCATAGTGGTTACCAGAGGCTACATACTAGCATGGAATTTATCAAGCGAATACTATATTTATCAGAAGAATACCGAAAGATTCCATGTATGACATATCTTGTCTTTCAATACAACGGGTGGGTGATTTCTTTTTGTTCCTTATTCATTCACCTTGAATTGACTTTTTATCTTTGTAGTTGGAAGGCCTGTCTAATACTACAATGAATATATAGCACGCTAAGTCCAGAAATAGTGATATCTTCTTCATTGTCAATGGCAAAGATAATTTAGAATCCTAGAGTATGCTAACCCCGAAATATGCCAGCTATCGCACCTATTGGGGGATTTTCAAGACTACCCTACCATCAATCTCCGAGCGCTCCAGACGGTCCAGCACATCATTGATATCATCCAACTCAAAGATGTCAATATGCGCCTTCACATCACCAGCCACGGCCATGGCCAGCATTTCATTCATCTCATCCGCTGTTCCCGCGGAGTTCCCGACAATAGTGAGACCTGTGTTAGTTGGTCAGACTGGTTCATGTTTGAAATTGCATAAGTACTAGAGAACTCACCCTTCACAATCATATCGAATGGCGTAGCTGGTAGCTTGAAGGGCTTGTTGGGTATACCGACGCAGACCAGCGTGCCAAAAGGACGCAACATCTGCATACTTTGTTCGTATGCTCGCTCGCCGTTGGCAGTGCAGATCACAGCATGTACACCGAAGGTTGTTTTGTCTTTGACTGCCTGGACAATGTTGACTTCGCGGTAGTCCAGAAATTCCATAGCCCCAAGCGAAAGACATAGTCGTTTTTTCTTATCTCCGCTTGAGGGGCACCATCGAGTTAGTTTGTTTATGAAATAAAGGCGATAGAAAATGTTCAGCTTGAAATATCACATACCTGTCAATCGCAATGACCTTAAGGCCCTTTTTAGCAGCAATTTGAACTCCCCTGTGAGAAATACAGTTGTCAGAAACAGAGTTTCCAGTCATCAAAAACTGGGTTGAGAATGTACATATGACCAAGGCCACCTCCAGCACCCAGGATGGCAAGGTAGTCTCCCGGGCGAGTCTTTGTCTTCATGATGGAGGAATACATCGCAATTCCAGCTGGAGATAATGATTAACGTTTGACCGGCGAAATACCAATGGGAAAAAGCATACCACACAGAAGAGGCGCGGCACTAGCTGGTGAAAGTTGCTCCGGAATCTTTGTCACATGGAGTGCTGGACTGACAATATACTCTGAGGCATGATATTAGAAGTGTTCCAATGGGCTGAATGATCACGTCAATAGATGAAATACTCACGCTGGAACGTTCCAGGTACATTCTGCAAACCACCAATACAATCAGCAACGGAAACGATCCCGTGGGGGCACATCGATTGATGATGTTCGATGGTCAACAACTTACTGCACCAGCGTTCTTCTGATATGGGCATGCAGTATGGTTGATTTCGCAAATTTCGCACTGGCGACAAGAACTGTAGAGCCATCTACCAGTGGAAATGCCATCAGTGTCAATATAATTTCAAGCGGACGACCAATTTGCGATGAAGGAGACAGACCTGATACCAACCCGCGTTCCCATCCATTGCTTCTCGTCAACTTTCGGTCCGACTAAGGAGAACGGTGAATGTTAGTATACGTTCTGAGCTGGTCAATATGTTGTAACGACGGTTCTTACCCCTGACTACTTTCCCAACGCCTTCATGGCCCGCAACATCAGTCAACATAGGCGTGTCACCACGAATGCTGTGGAGATCCGAGTGGCATACTCCAGAAAACTCGAGCTTGACGAGTATTTCGCCTTTTCCTGGAGTTGGCACCGGACGGTTACTCTTGATCCCTACCTTTGCGGGGACAGTAGTACTCGTGGATCTGATAACAGCAGCGATTTGAATCCGGGGGATTAGAGGGGTCGACATATTGCTGGTCCTATGAATATTTGAGATCACGTCTTTGAAACAAGTCTGTGAATCTTTACGAGGACACTTGGTTTAAATGATTCGGTAGTTTAGACCTGACCCGATAGCCGCATTAGTCGTATCGCAGATGCGGGGGTGCGAGGGAAGGATGGAAAGATGGAAAGATAAGCAGAAACAGTTACCTACACACAATGGTAACAGATGCCAAGATACATACGTTTGTATGTATATTGGGAAGGATCCCGAACTTAGACAGATTAGACAGGTTAGACCGGGGATGAAGATGGAGAAGATATCAATAATAATCGATTACGAAGATAGAATCAATCTGACACTTCTCTTTTACAGAGTTGAGCATCAATAACTCAATTAAACAATTATGTGTAAGCCGCAGGTCTGACATCGGAACAATCATGAAGGAATATAACACAAGGACTCTGTTAGGTAGAGCCGAAAGGAAGAAGTGGTACAGCACTCCGAATGCAGCAGAAGGTCCCCGAGTCGTATGAGAAACTCGAAAACCAAGGTATCAAAGATGAAATTCTAAACCCATAGAACGCCAGAAAATCATGCATTCTCGGACTGGATTGTTTGCTGCAGGTAAAAGACATAGTTAGTTTGAGAAATCAGCAGGTTGGATTGAGGAAAGACACGAACCACCAGCCAATCCATTCCTTCATTAATACCCTTGCCATCAATAGCAGAGCAAGCAACAATACTCCAGTTTCGGTCCCGCAGTTCTCCCAGCTTCAAAGCCTCTGAGATCTCGCCTGCACCCTTGGCACCGGGTTGATCTTGTTTGTTGGCGAACACCAGCAATGCTGCGTCGTGAAGTTCCTCCTCGTTCAACATGGCTGCTAGTTCATCTGCTGCAGTCCCCAATCGCTCAATATCTGTGGAGTCGATGACAAAGACCACTGCGGCGGTGTTGGCGTAGTAGCATCGCCAGTATGGGCGAATAGAAGTTTGGCCACCAAGATCCTGTAATCCAGGGATGTTAGCCATGATCTGACTGGATTTAGAGACGGGGAAAACATACCCAGACATTGAGATTGAGGTTCTTATATGTGACCGATTCGACGTTGAAACCAATTGTAGGTATCGTGGTGACGACTTCACCAATCTGTGGGCACGCAGTGTCAGCCCCACGTATCTCACTCAAACGCGCCAGAAAAAGAAAACACCGGTTTCAAAGCTATAATATCTTACCTTGAGCCTGTACAGCAATGTGGTCTTTCCAGCGTTATCCTAAACCCTCAGAAGAATGTTAATTAGTTTCTGTCTTGGTCACACTAATGAGAACCTGCTTTCCCCGCGTGGGATGCAGTAAGACACCACGTACAAGACCTAAAATCAGAATGCGGATCTCCTTCTTGGACCAGAGCAGGGACCAAATACGCGACAGTGAACCTCCCATTGTGTGTATGATTAACTAGTGGGCGCGTTGTCCACTGTGCGGTTCACAGGTTGTCTGGACAAGTATGGAGCCGAGGATGATAGGTTGAGGAGCGCGTAAGTCGTATGGATTGAGGAGAAACAAGACAAACTTGCTATGGGGGGAATATCGTACGGAGTACAAGTAGATGAGATAGAGGTGAAACAGAAGAAGGCACTTGGTGGCAATCACTTGGATGTTCTTTGGCCGATCGGCCTGTGCGGTGTGGGCGGTCAATCGGGGGATCACCGTCTTGCGGGATTGAGCTCCTCATTTAGAAAACCCCCATTGTCTCTTTCCCTCTGTCATATCCTGCGTTTGTTCACTTTTATCGCGTCCTACCCGACTACCTATCACTGTCTCAAGCGCAGTCAAGGAACTGCCGTCACCTCCGGCGCACTCCCTAGATTTGCCGCGATTAGTCTCAATTGAAGACAGCCATCCACAGACCGATACCATTATGGTGGGAAAGAAGTCGGGCAAGGCCCTCCGGGATGAGGGTAAGGCGACCCAACCTAGCTGGTGAAATAAACTCGTCAATATCAGACCAGCTAATATTTGACATAGGTCTGGAGCGGACTGACAATAACATGGAGCTCTCCAGTTGGCCGCAGATCCCAGCAATCAACCAGAAGAACTATTACACGTACGTATACTCAGATCGATATCTGCCGCATGGTTCTAGTTGAGGAAATCATTACTGATTGGCGCTATGTAGCGACTACCTGAAACGAGACGATCAAAACCTCGCGTTCCGACTCCAAAACGAGGAGGCCAGGACAAAGATGACGAAGAAAGCGAAGGATCACGACCGTGCCCTTGCTATGGCCAAGACCGAGACTGCTGAAGGCGAGGGCGAGGCAGATGGCGATGCTCATATGGAGGATGCGGAGGAGACCCCAGCCGAGATGGCTGGCTCCAAGGTTATTGTCATCCACATGGGCAGTCAGAACCTCCGGATCGGACTTGCCAGCGATGCACTGCCGAAGACCTTACCAATGGTAATTGCCAGGAAAGCAGCCACCAACGAGTCCGAAGACCATGATGAACCCAAGCCCAAGAGGTTTAAGCACGATGATGGCTCTGAAATGGAGCCTGAAAAGGCTTTTGGATCTGAAGTATGTTCAGTGAAGTTTTATTGAAATGGCTGTGTACTAATTTTCTGATAGTGGTCGTCTCACTTCAATCAGATGTCTGCGGATTTGAAGGTGCACATGCGACAGAACAAGCGAAGAATGCTTCCAAACTCCAAGGAGATGGTCGTTAACTATAACCGCAGAACCGTGCCAGAAATTATCTCTGAACACAATGACCCAATGCGCGCTGAATGGACCGAGCTATCTAATCCCCCACCAGAATACATTGTTGGACAGCCGGCCCTGCGGGTACCGGATTCTTCAAAGCCTCGATACAAGCTGTATTGGCCAATTCGAAATGGTTGGTGCAACGAGAAGGACTACACCAGCAAGAGGTCTCTCTTCTTGGATATTTCATTGATCGTGGAAGACGCGATCAAGAACCAACTGCGCTTGACGAGCAAGAAGGATTGGACCCAATATTCGTGTGTGTTCGTCATCCCAGATCTTTACGACAAGTCCTATGTCACCCAAGTCTTAGATATGTTGATGCGAGAGTTCGCCTTCGCTCGGGTGTGTTTCATCCAGGAGAGTCTGGCAGCCACCTTTGGTGCCGGCTTCACCTCGGCATGTGTCGTCGATATTGGAGCGCAGAAGACTTCGATCTGCTGTGTGGAAGAAGGCATGTGCATTGAGAACTCCCGAGTAAACCTGAAGTATGGTGGTCAAGATATGACCGAAACATTCGTCAAGATGATGCTACACGATCATTTCCCCTATGCCGACATCAACCTACGACGTAGACACGACTTCCTTCTGGCCGAAGAGCTTAAGAAGAACATCTGCACTATGAACGAAGCCAGCGTCTCTCCACAAGTCTTTGACTTCCACCTTCGTGTGGCAGGCCAAGATACACGAAAGTACACTTTCAAGGCGTTTGACGAAGTTCACCTCGCGCCAATGGGTGTATTTGAGCCTGCTATTTTTGACAACTCTGACAAAATTATCGGGAGACGGACATTGATCGATCGGTCCGCTGACATCTATGATGGATCACCAAATGATCCTACTTCTGCAGCCCAGTCAGAGATCTTGACCGCCATGGCCCCTCCCCTCCCCTCTCATGACAAGACAAATGGCGAGTCTCACTCTGCAGCACCGGATGTTCAGGCCACACCAAGCCGCCCTCAACACCCTCTGGCTTTGAGCAAAGTCCAAGATCTGGAAGGTACACCTCGATCTTCTGTTGCTGGTTCTCCGGGGCCGGAGAACACAGGGACTCCTCAGGCAGGAGGGACAAACACACCCGCTGCCGTGGCCGCTGCAGCCCAGCCTCCCCGCCCTCCTGCAGTGGAAGATCGGGATGATATCATGCCCGTGTTCGGTCTGGACAACGCTATCCTCACATCAATTGCCCACGCGGCCCGATCAGACGAGAAGAAGATGCGGGATTTCATTGGCGGTATCATGGTCGTCGGTGGAGGCAGCTTGACTAGCGGGTTCCACCTCTTCTTGGAAGAGCGACTGCAGGCTCTCCGCCCTGGTTTCTCAAAGGAGATCATGATCGGGACCCCGCCAAGAGACCTCGATCCCCAGGTCGTCGTGTGGAAGGGAGCCAGTATTTTCGGCAAACTGAGCGGCACAAACGACAGTTGGATCGGAAGACTGGAGTATGATCGACTTGGTCCCAGGTTGATGGCGTACAAATGCATGTGGGCCTACTGAGAGCACTTTGGGAGATTTACTTATGTTATTATGAGAATTCGGCGTGGGAGTTGCATGTTTTTGGTCACTTTCAAAAGGAATTTCAATATTTTTCTAATACAATGGAGCAACTTGAATATCGATAACTAATTCGACGAACGAAAAGAAAAGTACAAGTGAGCTGTTGTCCTGAGATTGGGTAAGTGCACGCATTTCTATACTTTTCAACGTTATCTGTTTGCGTACTTTGCGTACTTGGATGTGATCACCTCTGTATTTCCACGCACATATTGGTCTACTCAGTATCAAAGCGGTAAATACGGGCAGAATAATGGTCCTCAGGTTCAGCTTCGGAGTTGCTCTGAAGAGCAGCTATTGCCGATTCCTCCAACTCCATTTGTGGCCAGTCTGAATAACCCTCTTCTACTGGGGACCTGAACCACTAGATTCTGGCTATATTGTCACTTTTCCTCCCTCCCTCTTCCCTTTCTTTCTACAAGCCCTTGACTTTCCTAACGGTAGGTTTGCGACCAATTCCCTCGCATCCATTTTGAGTCAAGTTCTTATACTAACTGGCTATTGTAGATTTGTGCTATCGTCTCTTTGCCAAATTTGAGTTGACAGCATCCCACTTCACCCCAGTCAATTTCAATCCATCCCAGTCCACTACAGTGAGCTTCCGTCCCACTCAGTCCAGGCGCCAAGTTGCTAATGCGCAGTCAATCACCCAGTCAATCGAGCGAGCAAATAAGACGACAATATGTCTTCCAAATCTAAGGAGGGTCAGTCATCGGGTGGCTTTCACCAGGAGTACATTGCGTCCCTCCGCTATCGTAATGATCTCCCTCCCCCGGACATGCCCCCGAAGTTCCTTGACATCCCACATGAGGGCTTGAGTCGCTTCCTTACCCCCGGGTTTGCCTCAAACCTGGCACGCCGTGAGGAGCCCAACATTGAAGTCGATGCCGAAGGTGGAATGCCAATTGACCTTGTCGGTATTCCCGGGTTACACTTGGGCGACGAGAGCGGTATGTCAACGCGGAATCCGCTACAATTGCACTGATAAAACTAACATCTTCATCAGCTATTATGGCACCCGAGAATCCCCAACCCATGGACCCCGCTGATCTTCCCCTCCTCATGACTATTGAGCAACTTCGAAACCCTGCCCCGAGGAATACCAATGTCAGTTTCCTTCGCCGTACACAGCACATCGGTGTCGATCGCAGTGCTGGAGATGGATCCCGACCTGCACCCGCTAGAGCACAATCACGTACTGCAAAGAAAGGAAAGCCTCCTGTGGATGACCCGAAGCATGTTAAGAAGTTCATCCAAAAAGGATTCGATATCGCCTACCCTCAGAGCAAACACACCGGAGAAGACACCGATAGCCACATCCGTGGTCTTCCCCCCACAAAGGCAGAACTTGATGCCTGGGCTAATCCCGTTAATCCTGAAAACCCGAAGCTGAAGCCAGTCGGGTTCTTCCCTGTGATGCCTGACTTGGAAGGATTCCCAGACCCTGGTGGTTACCTTCAATTCAAGTTTGATAAAGCGCCTTTGGCAGCCGTCGCCGGCAAGCGGGACAAGCGTATGGATGTTGGTATTCTGACACCAGTCGCGCCAGAGCAGCGCGTTTGTCAAGAGCATCAATCTAAGCTCGCTCTTCACAACACGAACCCTGCTCTTTACGCTCCCCCGGGCCCACTCCCTTATGACTACCAACTCTTCCTTCCAGAGAAGCCCCAATCTGTTAAGAACATTGATGCAAGCATGAACCTGTCCAACGCAAACCGAGACCGCGAAGACCTCTACACCAACGAGAGCGCCGAGGGCCACAAGTTCCACCGTTATGATCGCATTCGCACTTACGCCACCAGTGCTCAGGTTTTCAACACCGAGCAAAAGGACATTGCATTGACACTTTTCAAACCCAAGGACGGCGACACCAGACAATTGGCCGCTTACTACTATCCAATCTCAGGAAAGGCCCGCCTCAAGCCGGAGCGTGCCCGCACTATCGCCCAGGTCGGTCTCGGTCCCACTTCTACCCAACAGGAAGAGGTTGAAGAACGGATTGACCAGATGCAAGTGGTAATGCGTGACCCTAACGAGGCTGAAATCTACAAGCGTGCCTTGACCCGTCTGCGCATCGATCCGAAGTTTGCAAGCAATATGCCACCTGAGCCTGTTGTTCAGGAAGAGGAGCAACCGTTGGAGAACGAGGAGACAGAGAAGCCAGCCGATGAGGATACTCGCATGAGCGATGACGAATAAAATATTCGCGGCTTGTCTATTATGTATTATGGATCCTTTTTTTTTGAAAATTACAATCTCGAAGTTTTTGCCCAGGTAATTTCCCATGGGTCTGGCGTCTGAGCAATGGAAAATGGCGTTACGTATAGTATAGTCAATGGTTAATCAAAGTAGTTATCTCATTCATCTAGGTACATCCATATAACTGATCGCTCGCTAACTACGGAGTAGTAGACCCTTTACGTATGTTGTAGTAGACCCTTCAGCCTGCTTCCGAGCACGCCATTTTAGATCCTAATTAGGGAGGTGACCTACCCCCCCCTAGGCTTCACGCGGCTTCCCAATCTTAACAGGAGAATACAGAACGTTATAGGAAAGTTGTGCCATTGAGCTTGTAGATTATTCTAAACATACTATTTAAGCCCCCCTTCTAACCATTGTGTCAACGACATAGCAAATAGGCACGTATTGTCTATACCTCCGAGTCTCGCGTCGACCTTGAATGTCCATATACCGCTCCTTAAAAACATTGTAAGAATCTGAAAATCTACTAAAATATCACTCCGACCGCTACTAGGCATATAGTCGACCTGAACTCCACGGGAATCGCGAATAGTGAGGTGGGCTAGATCATTGAAGGGTGTAGTCTTTAACGGAAATGTAAAGGATTCTTCGTCGTCGTGACTACCATCCGCGTAAATAGCAGAGATGCTCACAGTAAGGGTCGCATTGATAAGGCCCTCGTCGGGAAGTGCTAGCTCCTTCTTAGATTCAGGTAGATAACCGCATAGGTAGGCGAAGAAGACACGGTCGCTTTATTAGGATATTACAACGTTATGATCAAGCTTACCTTAAGGAGAGGGAGGATCTTACGCGAGAATAGGCGTTGGGGCAACCTCGAGGAACTCGATTTTCAATATCTGGTCTTCCTTAGGCACGACGTCGTATATGGCATCGTTATGGCCGGGGACCTTATCTTGTTGGACCATACCGTCCTCGCGGACGAGCAATTCTTGGTGTCTTCCTTTCATGCCGTACATCCATATAGTTGTGTAATTTTGTGCTTACTGGTATGTTGACGTCCTGTACATCAAACTTGCCTTCAATTCACTCACTTCAGAATACCATTCAGATTCAAGCGGCCTCCATCTTGCACTTAAACGCATTTTATTATTAGTATAATCTTAGACTATATACGCTCTATGTCTGCTATATACGCGCATAAATGGAGATTTTCACTCTTATTAACATATTGTTATATATATTTTTTGAGCATCTCTTCTCTTCTCGCTAACGGCCAACACATGCTATATTTTCTTAATATAATACATTATACTAATCATCTTGACACGCATGGCCAAAATCCTGGGCTAGAGGCTTATTTCTTTTTCTTCTTCCAGACATGATAGCTACTATACGAGGCATTGTTTACTATTTGCTTGATGATTGCTTTCTTGGGCGGTTTATCAGATTGTTTTCTCCCTTCCTTTGTCCTCATGTAGCTATATAGATGGCTTTAGGGTGGCAGTAGTACTTCCCATCATTCACATATCTACCAATCACTTCCTGCTTCCACGGGTAGATATTGTCTCTATCAGTAGCACACGCTTGCCACAATCAGGTCCAAGCCATCTTTACCTACGGACGCCATTTCTGATGTCCAAAATGGAGTTGCTGGACCTTCCAGCCGAACTGATCCTCGTGATCGAGGAACACCTCCCCACACAAGCTGATGTTCTTGCCTTGATGAGATGCCACCCCTGCATGCTTGCTATTCTCCAACAGAGGCTCTACGCCCGACCAAAAGGGGAGAAGATTACTGAAATCTTTGATTGGGCCATTGAAAGGGGAAATGAACGCTTGGTGTCTGCAATGCTTGACCAAGGAGCCGATAAAATATTCACCGAGCTTGGAGCAGGGGCATTGAGCAACGCTACGATGCGCGGCCAACTCAACATGGTGAAGTTAGTCCTCGAGCACCCACAAACCATCAACAAACCAACGCCAACAGACGACGAGAGCCATACCGCGATCATGATCGCCACGCTCCATGAATATACAGAGATTGTCAAGTTGCTTCTCGCCCAACCGCACCTTCACCCACAAAAGCCAAGCTCATTATTTTTCGAGAAAACGCTAAAAAAGATAGTCATTGGCGAGGAATTGGATGATGATGACTCCTGGGACATTCCCATCAACCAAGCTCTCTACAGTGGAAGCCGGAAGCTAGTTCGGATTTTACTTGCAGACCCTCGCGTGGAACTGACTTCTTTGAGTTTGATTGCGGCTGCCCGTGGGGGTTATGAAGATATGGTCATGCTGTGTTTACTGCAATATCCGCAACAGTTTGACCCGGACCATGAATCGCTACTAGTCATCGCTACTCGGGACAATAACATGAGGCTGGTTCAATTCTTACTGAAAGTGGCAGGCCTTATTCCTCATATGAAGTGGGAAATAGATGGTAAAACATCTTTCGTTAGTGCAGCGAATCAAGAAATCCTAGCCCCTGACCACCCGCTTCTTGCGAGAAATAACATCAGCGTCAAAGCTACCGATTATGATGGCAAAAGCCCATTCATTTATTCCGCAAGCCATGGAAATGTGGAGATGATGAAACTGCTTTTTAGTACAGGGGAAGTCAATGTTGATTCCCCAGACAGACTTGGTCGAACGCCATTGTCCTATGCTGCTGAACAAGCAGGAGGGCAGGCAGTGAAATTCTTACTATCACTCGATGCAGTAAATCCTAGATTAAAGGATTATTACGGCATGACCCCCCTTCATTATGCTGCAGAATTTGGTGATGATGTGGCGGTGATGAAAGTGCTTCTGATACTGGGAATGTTGATGTTAATTCCCTGGACAAAGAGGGTCAAGCGCCATTTTCACTTGCCACTGAGATGGAAAAGAGGCAGCAGTGCAGTTCTTAATCCGAAATCAAGAATTACGGTGGCCGAAGGCAGTTAGTTGCTTTCCGCTGCAAGAAGCGATGCTGCAGGGTAGTCAAAAGGCTGCTTAAGTGGATCTGTTAACCCAGCTGTGCCAGACTGATATATCTTCCTTTCAAGCCGTGAAGTTCAAAAGCAGAAATCCAGTGATATTGATCTCTGAATGTGAAACGCAGTCCATTTTCCACATGCTGCTATGACAGGTCGTCCATATGGATACCTTTTTTTTTTTTCACAATCGGGGGGTATTCCTAGCAATATGAATTTCATAAATAGATTAACTAAGAAAGGGAACCATAAGACAATAAGCCAACATAATTGAAGACCAGTACTAAACAATAGCGAGTGTTGGGCAATAAGTATCTAGCCTCCAATTTTGGTCATCTCAACATGCTTTCTTTAGCCAACTGAAGACAAGCTTCTTTCGTTCCTTGAGTGCACATTTTACCTGTTCATGTATTAGCATTACTCCATACCGTCGAGATAGAGATCAAACACATGGTTGATTCGCCCGTCAACAAACATTCTATGAGCTGAGCCGGCAGCATGGTATGGGCTAGGCCGGTAGCATAGAATGAGGATGGATTGGAAAGTTGCGCTTCCTGCATGCTTTGGAACGCCCCGCGACACCAACTCTATTGGCAACTGGGGCTGAGTGATGTAGTGGAAGGGCGCACTTGAGCTTGTGATAATAAAGCAGTCACTACCATTGACAACCTTGGAACTTTGGAATGTTCTTCTATGCCCAGCCACTATTGAAATTGCGTCAGACTCGCGTGGAGATAACTTTAAATTTGTGGGGCCGCAGGGGTACGGGCGACTATAGGGATCACCGTCACATAACCTCTCTCATTAGCTAGGTACCCGGTTCTTGCCAAGCAACCCAACCCCCCTGCGGGTGTTGGGTTACCACACACTAATACAAACTCTTGCCTAATACAAATTTTAAAGAACGCATCAAATGTTTTTGTATTTTTCCCACTACACAACGCCTAATAAAATCAGGTAAAAATATAAGAAAAAAGTTAAATAGTAGGTTCATCATCTATAGGCGGCATCCATGGTATAAAACGGGGTCCTGGTGTCGGTATGTCCTCTGCAATTGCTTGCTTCCGACCCTGCTTTTTCAACCGCCTGTCTTCTTAGGCCTACTCCTTTGATTCACGCGCCCGGATCATTCGATTTGCATCACCGGCGGTTAGGGGGCCCCCTAAATTGATCTACCGTTTGGTAATCCGGGTGTCCCGGTGGACTTTATAGCGTAGAAGAGTAGTATTATCCTTAGTAAGCTAGGTAGCAAGCTCTACCGAAATCCGCGCACTTCGATATAATAGCCTTGCTCGGTATCGAATAGCTGTATAAAGCTCGCTATCTAGCAATTCTATATCTACCTCTAATTTACGAGTACTCTCGTTTATACGAGAGATATCGCGGGGTAGTGAATTAGTAATAGAGCTAGGAAAATCTACCTCTAATCCGTTATCTTTACTAAAGATAACTAGATTATTACTATAATCTACTTCTTTTTTAAGCGGATTAAGCACTATTGTATAGTTAAATAGGGAAATGCCATAATAAACAAATCCCGACTTAATTACTCTAGTTATAAGGGTATCACGGACGGAAACAATCTCCCGGAAAAAGTCCGTTTTGCGGTCTACCGAACTACCCTATTGAACAATAGTATTATTATTCGATTAGTAGTAATGTTTTAAAGTAAGAAAAGGCTTGCTATCTAGCGGTTAGTATAGATAGGTTATATAGGGTATAAAATAGTAGGGAATAATGCTATTTTCCGCTATAAAGGTAATAAATTCCGGGGTCCGGTAGGAACTATAGTTATCTATTAACAAAAGCCGTTTACTACCCCGAGTAGTCCGGTCTTTTATAGCTAAATTAAAGGCCTTAAGCTATTAAATAGTAGTTTGATCGGTAGTATAGCCATTAGGCGTAATTACTAGGGTATAATCCGTAGGAAGGTTAGTATCTTTATACTAATTCTCTATATAAAATTTACCCCGAACTAGGAACTAAGGTACTATCTTCTAACCGTCGGCAGCAATATATTTAATGCCGGTAATACCTTCCGTAATACCTCTATTTAGTAAATATAGATTCTAACTTTTTAAAACGACCTTTTAAGGCTTTCCTTAGCTAATTTAGAAGCTAGTTTCGTTAAAGTTATAGATATCCCGTGGCCTTAGTTGATTGCTCTTAATATACTAGTTTAAACGTTTATACTAAGTAGTAAGATAACTAAGATCTTCGGCCTCTATTCTCTTCTTTTTCTTTAGTTTTTGTTTTATAAAATAAAGGTTATGGATAGGTAGGATGCGTTTTAAAAACCGGTATACCTAGTTCTTATCTACCGGCGAACGCGACGCGTCTTCGCGTAGAATCATCGAATTTGCACACCCTTCTATCATCTTAGCGGTAGGCGGAGAGCAAGTATCATCTAGTATAGTGATCCAGCTAATTAATGCTTGCTCTTAATCCGAATTTAAGACTGAATTAGTGGCATGGCGCGTCGAACGAGAACCCCGACCGTGAATACGGTTGTAGAACTGGGTATAGGGAACGCCGAATTCTCGCGCCAATGGTGCTATTTTTGGTTTTTTTCTAGCATGCTATGCAGATAGGGTATTTGCCAATGATCTCTCCAAATCTGGGTTTTTTTCAGGCATATTTGTAGGGTATAAAATGGTAGTAAAAATGGTGGGTGGTGTAAAATTTGTATTAGGCAAGAGTTTGTATTAGTGTGTGGTAACCCAACACCCGCAGGGGGTTGGGTTGCTTGGCAAGAACCGGGTAGTGCCTTACAGCCTATTTTATCACCGCTTTCTTGAGGTAAGGTACATTAATTTCAACTTCTCTTTTATGTAACTATACTAACATCTTACTAGATCTTCTTTTTTGGATGTTCTCCGCAGGGTCTTTCTACTAGTCTTTCTAGCTGTCTTTCTAGCTGTCTCTTTATATATCTTTTCTAAGGCATTATAAGGCATCATCTAGGTTCAATATTACTACTACATAACTATGTAACTAATTTCGAGGTTAGTTTTTGTAAAGTGGGAGGTCTAAGTTACTGCCAGGCAACATAAACCAATGAGAGAGTTATGTGACGGTGATCCCTATAGTCGCCCGTACAGGGGGTTCCCGGGCTAAACCTAAAAGGGAACATTATGCGCGGGTTGCATTGGACTTGCCAGACGGTGGTATCTACCTAGGTAAGGGCACCTTCATAATGAAGTTCAACCTCATCTTCAAACTTTGCTCCGATCATTTGATTGTTGTTCGGTGGGTAATGCACGGTGTCCGCGGATCGAACTTCTCACTCTTTCCAACGTAAATTCAAGCCACTAGGCCATTGAAAGAAGGTGATGCTGTCACCTATCACGGAACAGACTTTCTTGTCCAGGACGACCGAACAGGCCAGATTAGGGAAGCGTAAATGGCAGGATACAGTATCTCATACTTCCATGCGATACGCTTGGATGCTGTCACTGTCCAAGGAATTAGACAACTGGCAGGCAGCAGGTCACCTCGGATCGGCAATTGACAAAGTGGAGGTTGGTAAGACCTAGGACTATCTTCGTCAATTCATGTACCGTTTACCCCATTTTCTTCTTTTCTGTATACTAATCAAGCGGTCTCGAGTTACAGCTGTCATGAGACGTATTCATTCAATATATGTTCGGAATGAATACCTTGACCTGCTCTCGATTAGATAGCCTCCTGTTGAAGATTTTAGTACTAATCAATATGGAATTTATTCAACTAGTCATTATAGCCTTGGTTATTATTGTTGCTTTCTATTTTCTGATTGTGGCCCAAGTAACAGAAATATAGCGTGAAAGGACCCATACTATATACCTATTCAGCATTTCCCAAATATAATTTATCATTAGGAGTGAAAACCACGCTACGTGTATAGATTTACAAACGGAATTAACAACCCAATATCTGGGTAGTATATCATCCCAAAATCTTCCGCTTGTCGGGATCTCCAGGGCCACTTTATAATGAACGGTGGTAACACTGAGATCCCATTAAACCTGGGGAACTCCCAATGTGCTAGCAAACGGGGAGTTGATTGGCGCCCGTGGGTCCTAAGGATTGGCCCTGGTGGCGGCCCTATGGGGGACACAGCAGGCCCCACGGGCCAAGTCGACGGGACCTCAACGGTCAATGCCAAGACTTTCAAGGGACCACATGGGAAGTGACTGGGCTCTGAGTGGCCTAATGGTTGGGGGACTACAGGCTACTGCAGGAACCCAATTGTCCTTAGAGTTGGATCGGATTTGATTTGCAGTCAAATTTATCAAATTTACTTTGGGATTTACTTGGGTTTGTGCTGCTTTCGGATGATCTACTCACTTCAATTCAAAGGGTTATAGTGGGACTATAGTGGGACCATGTACAAGTTACTTCCTTAATGCACGTAGTTATACGTATTACCTCGTGTCCATTGTACCTTCCCTTGTCCCTCCACTCTGTCTCTTATCATCTGCACCCCCATGTGTCTCCGTGATAGGACATGGCACGCGCTGCTGTCTCCTCGTGAGGGGCATGTGGTCAATTAGACCCAATTCGATTTGTATTTGAATCTCTCAGTCGCTTCTCTCACTCTTCGTTCGTTGCATCACTCTTTTTACATATTGAACATGGATTGGATGCACGTCTACATCGTTGGGGCCGCCGTACTGGTGTTTGCCCTGGTCGGCCTGGTCCTTCTCGTCTCGTCTCAGCACATCAAGGTCGCCAACACTGGAGTTGGTCCTTACTTGAAATTCATCTGGGCAAACTTCATCAAACCGCACGATAAGAAGGCCGGGGGCCAGCAGGATGCGTTGGAGAGCTTCTACAAGACACAGGTGCGATCAAATGACCACGAGTTTAGGCATGACTCGAAGCTGACCGTGTCAGGCCGCAATTTACGATGCCACTCGTCGTCGTCTACTCTGTGGTCGTGAGGACATGCTTGGTCTTGTGGCCGCACAGCTGAAGTACAAGACTAGCAACAAAGAAGTCAAGACTGGAAAGGCTGTCTGGGTGGATGTGAGTATTGACTTACTGTTTTTCTGAACTATCGCTAATACATTCCAGGTCGGTGGTGGTACTGGGTAGGCACAAGAGGAACCCTGAAGTGATACAGAACGAGCATCTGACCCGTGACAGGTATAACATCGAAGCCATGGCCGCCTTCCTTCCGGTGGACAAATTCTTTAAACACGTCTACCTAGTCGATCTCTCCCCATCCCTCTGCGAAGTTGCCCGCGAGCGCTTCGAACGCCTTGGGTGGAACAATGTTACCGTTCTCTGCCAGGATGCCCGATCTTTCCGTCTGCCCGAGAAGGATAATGCAGCAAGTGATGGCGCGGACTTGATCACCATGAGCTACAGTCTATCAATGATTCCTGGTGAGTATTCAAGATCCCCACGAAAGACCATTGATATTGATTGTTTTAGACTATTACAGCGTTGTCGACTCATTAACCTCCCGCTTGAAGTCAACTGGAATGCTGGGTGTGTGTGACTTCTACGGTAAGCAATACGTCGAAGTTCTGCATGAATGTTACTCATTCAAAATATAGTCCAAAGCATTGTTGATGTCTCCTGTCGCAACTACACTGGTGGCGCTTTCAACCGCCATGTCAACTGGCTCGGGCGTGTATTCTGGAGAGCTTGGTTCGACTTTGACCGGGTCAGCCTTGAAGCTGCCCGCCGAGACTATCTGGAATACAAGTTTGGTACTGTCATCTCCGCCAGCGAACGAAACTATTTCCTTGGTGGTATTCCATACTACATCTTTGTTGGTTGCCCCAAGGAAATAGCATCTACCCCATCAAGTCAATCCATTGAGAAGCTGGATGCGTCTTTTACTGAATCTCCTTACCTCCTTCCTGCCAATCACAAGCAGGAGATAGACAATGCAGTTGTGAAGAGCACACACGAGATTCGCTCCAAGGCATATGAGTCTGCAGTGATTAACCTGAGTGCAAACCTGCCACTCCCATCATCCTTTTACCAGAACCACCACTATCGCATTCATTACAATGACATGCTACCCAAACATACTCAATTCCAAAACGAGTACATCTACGCGTTCACATGGGAAGACCCACGGGTTGACCACCGACTCCTGAACATCGGCACAGACGACGTGATCCTGGCTATCACCAGCGCCGGTGACAACATTCTTGATTATCTACAAAAGAGTCCCCGTCGGGTCCACGCGGTGGACTTGAACCCTAACCAGAATCATCTTCTTGAGTTGAAGGTTGCCTGTTACTCAGCGCTGGGTCACCGCGATATGTGGAAAATCTTCGGTGATGGCAAGCACGCACAGTTCCGTGAACTGCTAATCTCTAAACTCAGCCCCCACCTGTCCAGCCAGGCTTTCCAGTACTGGCTCGAGCACACCCAGACCTTCGCCTCTACCTCTGGCCATGGTCTGTACGAGTCTGGTGGGTCTCGCCACGCCATTCGTATGGTGCGATGGCTCTTCAATATCTTCGGACTCCAAGGTGAAGTTAGCAAGCTGTGTGAAGCGCAGACCATTGCAGAGCAGCGCGAAATTTGGCCCCGCATTCGACGTGTGCTACTGAGCCGACCACTTAACTGGGCTATTGTGAGCACCGAATGGTTCGCATGGAAGGCCGCCGGAGTCCCACGCAACCAGCGAAACATGATTGTCGACGACTTCTTCCGCCGCAACGGCTTGACCGAAGATATGAAAACGGGCAAGGACATCAGCGGCCAATCGATTTGGGAATATGTTGTCAATACTCTTGACCCAATGGTCAACGAGACTCTTATCAGCAACGATAACTACTTCTACTTCCTTTGCGTTCAGGGCAAATTCTCACGGAGGTTCGTTTATTTTGTCTTTGTCTTTCAATTACACGTGCTAACCGCAGTAATAGATGCCACCCCACCTATCTTTCTCCTCAAGCACACGTCAAGCTTTCCACGCCTGGTGCATTCGATGGCCTTCGTATCCACACTGATGAGATCAATGAAGTGATCAACCGCATCACTCCGGGAACTCTGACTATCGCCGTGGTAGGTATCGAAATATCCTTTTGCGGTACTTGTTGTGCTAATTTATATTAGGTCATGGACTCTATGGACTGGTTCGATCCCGCCGGGGACTCTGCCCCTTCCCAGGCCCGAACTTTCAACAAGGCGTTGAAGAAGGGTGGTCGCATTCTTCTCCGCTCCGCGAGCATCGATCCTTGGTACATCAAGCACTTCGAAGAAAACGGCTTTACTGCTCGTCGCGTGGGAGCTCGTTTCCCAGGCACATGTATTGATCGGTGAGTTTTGGAGTTGTATCCTTGACTATTACGGACGAAGCTTACACATCTATTCTAGGGTAAATATGTACGCATCAACCTGGATCTGTACCAAATCCGAGGACTTGTCCCGCCCCAATCCAGACCGCAAAATGTCGACTCTCTCATTGGGGGAAAGCGCTATTACCGGAGGCAAGATGCCGAGCAGCGTGGAGAATCTGATGATTTAAGTTATGGCGATACCTTTTTTATTTTCTTGATGTGGTCTTTTCAAGTTATGCCGCATGTGCCTCAGTGCCCGTTCATGATACCTACGATCTGGAGTTAGATGGAGTGTTTCCTATGCTTGAATTTAAAAGCGCCGGGGTCGGGAGTATGATAGGGACTATGTTTTCAATTCTTGTGTAGAAATGAATACCAACAGCTTGTCCTAATAGCAACCGCCATCTTTAATGTAGTTGCGTACATACAATCTTATAACACCCCTTGGACATTGACTTGGATCCACAGGAGACGTGATTATTTGCTGTCTCATCAATTCCAAGTAGTTAATATAAAAGCACCACATATCAAGATTTTATATTACATTGAAGTATATCGTACCTATATTAATGATCTTTGGTATGGTTTGTTATGTTCTATACAGCCCACAACGTTGCATATCCCTACAGATCACGTCGATCTCCAGAAAAGGTTATATAGCGGCCGATCCCCCCGGCGCTGATTTGAGCACATTTGCGCAAGTACATACAACATAGTTAGTCGACATCTAGCATTTACTCAATAAATCCATTATCCCCTCGATTTTCGGACTCCGTAGAAATTAATACAATTGTTAGTGGACCTGGCTATATTCCCACCAGCTAATCAGAGATATGCCATTCGACTCTCAAGGTGATAAATGGTCTTGGTGAGACATCTCCTGTCTTATATATATTTATACTAAATTGTAGAAACACATACTTACAACCTCTACAAAAGTCAATCCTGTATTCGAGGTCACCGCTCATCCAAATGCGCACACTATGATCGACCGATGAAGAGAATCCCCAAGGCCGGACGTCCGCTGGCAAAGTGCTCGCACCTCAATGGGGTTGATTGCGATTGTCGGGAGGTTTGGGCGATTATGGTTCCACTTGCTCCAGGTATGTCATGTCAGCGGAATGGAATCGGTAATTTGGATTGTCGGCGTAGAAATATTTGTAGTAACATTTGTCCTTTCGAATAGGGTCGATGGTTTGCAGCCCAGAATCCGAGACTCAGCCCGTACAACAGCAGCAGGTCTATCATGTTTATACTGAGGGTAGATGATAGTTTGGGTTATATCGACGGGAATGCTTGTTTTATAAAGGAGTCAGGTAAATAATGAAGCATGGATGAGAATGAGATTAGCATGTCTATAGCGACAGCTCTAATAGCCCGACTTAATCAACACCACGCTACCTTTGTGGAACACTACGCAGCATTACACAACGCGAGGTAAAAGGAACACAACCAGGACTTCTTCACCAACAACCGAAACTCCAATCACCCACCATGACAAGTCCCTTCCTGCCAGGCCGTTCCCTGAGAGAATCTCCCAAGAAGCAGTTCGCCCACCAGGACGCCGAAAAGCACAGTTATGAAGACGCCGACGTTGAAGGTCATCACGGATAGCATCCTACCAATATGAATCATTAGTCGATCATTCGATACATGATACACATGTAGACAGCTGGGGGTGTAACCACCCACAAGAAATATCCAATCAAAGCCCTAGCACACTCAAGCAACGCGCGTGTGCCATCTTTCCCAAAACTCCACGTTCCACTGGCCTTCCACGACGGGAGCAGACGTTTCAGTGAGGTCTTATTCCGAGCGCTATCACCTTTGAGATAGCCTATTGGCGCATTTCGTGTTTCATTGTCGTTATTAGAGACCGGTAAAGTGTCTTCGTCCTCATTCTCGTCCCCGTGTATGCGCATGTAGTTTGGAAGAGGACTGAGCTTTGCTTTTTGGATATTTTGTCGTGGATTTACTGGAGCGAGAAGTAGCGTTTGAGGGGATGGGGTTTGCTGAGACCAGGATTTCTCGAGTTGGAACTTGAGAGCGCCGAGGAAGCGGTTGAAAATGGCGAGGAGGAATAGAAAGGTCAATGTTAAGATGTATTGGGTTGTGGTTGAAGTTGTCCAGCCTGTGAAGAGGATTGTGATTTCAGTGGAGGCTGAGAACACTGATGGCATGTTCATATCCATGTCCATAATTGTGTTAGGGTGTTCACTCCGGTGGGAGTACAAGTCGGAGTCTTAAGGTCGAGTCGACAGTGTTATATCACTTCATGTTGGGGATGTGGTTGAGTGGGAAATCCTGTAGGCAACAGGCGAGAGGAGAAGACTAGACAATCTTCTTCGCCCATGCGGTTTTAGATGCATATGAGATGTTGTGCTCATCTAATAGTGGCGATCTAAATGTTCTCAAATAAGATCGTGACATACAAGCGCAAATCCCCTCACCTCCACATCAAATGTCTCAAACGATGTTACCTTACAGTTCGGCGAATTACAAAAAGAAGAAATTGTAAAACGAAGCCTTGGAATCTTGCTTTTCAAAAATCATATATTGCAAGTCAGTTCATTCATTGACTTCAGGTCTAATCATATTTCACAGGGGAAGACTGGAACACGCCAAAGCAGCGGCCCTCTAAACAAACAGTGATTAAAAAAGAGTCTGGGAAAATTCATAAATGGACCATGAGCCCAGCGCTTTCACGACCTATCGTATCATGCCTGTCTGTTGTTCACCAAGCCAAGGTGCGCAGACAGATACAGGACATTCACATGCGAACGATCGTGGATATAGAGTCAGAGACAAAAAAGAAGTTCAGAAATCGAAAATCTCATGAGCGGCCGTACCGAGTCTTTCCGAAGGAGAAAGGCACATAGCGGTACTTGATCATGTGCTGGATTTGTCGTCGCACTGCAAAAAAGGATCGAGTTAGACATTATCCCCACAAAAAAAATGATACAGGTATTGTATCGAATCTCGACTTCCAATCGAAAAGGGGAAACATACTCGTCAGCACAAACAGAATGAACCAGTAAACCACCAGGACCGGCCAGAAGACGGGGATATCGAAGACAGCGAGCCAAGAGCAAACGAAGCCAATGGCGATGGCGCGAGTGGCCGAGTGCCAGAACTTGAACTCGGGGAGACGGCGGATGAAGGGACGGAACTCCTCATCCTTCTTAGTAGGGAGGCTGGGGGATCCAGCGTCACCGTCCTCGAGACCCTCGTCCTGGGTGAGAGACGGGTCGAACTTGGGAGTCAGGAAAGCGAGGAAGAGGTTCAGGAGGTAAATGCCGAGTGTGTAGGCGACTGTGATTTAAGATTGCGGCGTTAGCTGTTTGTTTATCCAGATGTTTATATAGCGCTGTGGATGAATGGCTTTTCGCGTGTTGGTGCGTCGAAGCGCATCATTTCCACTCTGCTAAATCCATTTTCAGGGATTCGATGAAGTCATACCAATGTACCAGCCTTGCGCGAGGAAAATGCGCAGGAAGAAGAGGAACAGGAGCACACCGGAACCAACCCAGCGGTAGGTTGTGTACGGGGTTGAGGCATCAAGGTAAGCTTGGTAGTGCTGTGATTGGAATATTAGCATGCATATTCATCAGACTATTGCGACCGATGTCAGAAATGAAGGAGCTAAAGACATTGCGCAATGCCTTGACCCCTCACGAGACACTCACTCGAGTCAGTCTAGAGGTGTGCGCGGACACAGCTGTGAAGGGCGACTGATCGGGCTCAGGGACATCCATGATGAGGATATTAAGGAGGACAGACAAAGCAAAGGCCTAGACCACCGAAAGAAAGAAAGGAAAGAGAAAAGTAAAGTAAAGGAAAAGCAGTGATTAAGATAAGATGCTGAAACCAGACATTCCGGGACAGGCACTGCGCTTCCTTCAGGACAGAAAAGTGTCCACTGCAGACTGGCCAATCAGATTAGATATTAGTAACCAGCCACTTATGAGCACGTGACATGTGGCACAGTTGGAATGTGGCGGTGCAGTGACATAAGTCAGACTAAAAAGGGGCTTAGCCGCTTCACGTGTACCTCGGGACGGTTAACTTCGGCGTTCAGGCGGTCGCGGGGAAACGGGCCATCTATGATGGTATCGTCGTAGTTATCCTCACTTCTTTCTCTGCATAATTCAATCTCAATTATCTCAATAAAATTAATTGTTGTCTTCACATAGCACAATGTTTGCCCGTCAATGCACTCGTCTGGCCACTTCGCGGACATCGGTCCCCTTGACTTCCTACCTAGCTCGAGTCCGGGGTTATTCTTCAGCTACTGGTAGCTACGAGCACATCCTCACTTCGACCCCCAAGCCTGGCGTGGGATTGAGTATGTAACTAGTTTCCATATACCACAGGAAACATTCTTATTCTTATTATAGTTACCCTTAACCGCCCCAAGGCCCTCAATGCACTATGCACTCCCTTGTTCAAGGAGCTTAATGAAGCTCTGAGCAACTACGACAATGACAAGAGCATTGGCGCGATCATTATCACAGGAAGCGAGAAGGCCTTTGCTGGTATGTACATGCTCTATTTACACTCTTCGCACACCATATATATCTTCCAGTCACTCCGTCACTCCGTCCCCCTAATCCCAAATGTACATCAACAATATAATAACCCACCAAATCCACCACAGCCGGCGCCGACATCAAAGAAATGGCCCCTCTCAGCTTCTCAGCTGCCTACAGTGAGAACTTCATCGCTCCCTGGTCCCACCTCGCCACATCAATCCGCACCCCAGTCATCGCCGCCGTCTCCGGCTACGCCCTCGGCGGTGGCTGCGAGCTAGCCCTGATGTGCGATATCCTGTACTGTACCGAGGGCGCCACCTTCGGTCAGCCTGAGATTAAGCTGGGTACGATCCCCGGCGCAGGCGGGTCTCAGCGTCTGACCCGTGCGGTCGGCAAGAGCAAGGCTATGGAGCTTATCCTCACTGGAAAGAACTTCAGTGGTAAGGAGGCTGGTGAGTGGGGTGTTGCAGCGAAGGTTGTCCCCGGTGGTAAGGAGGAATTGCTGGAGCAGGCGTATAAGACGGCCGAGACTATTGCTAGCTACAGTCGTGTGGCTGTGGTTGCTGGCAAGGAGGTTGTTAATAAGAGTCAGGAGTTGTCGCTCAAGGAGGGTGTTGAGTATGAGAGACGGTTGTTCCATGCGCTCTTTGGGAGTA